GATTCTGCTTCGTGTTGACGAATGCGCATTGCCACTGCTCGCGCGAGTTCTTCGTTCTGCGAGTTGAGCTCCTCCACTTTCTTTTGAAGAGCAAGCTTCTCGGCATCTCCAGCATTGAGGTTCCTTCGCAGGAGATGGATCTCGGAATCGTTGGCCTTCTGAGCTGCGGTATGATCCTCGATCAATTTCGCATTGACTTGCTTCAGGTCCTCAAGCTCTCGTTCGACGGAGCCCTTCTCGGAGGCCAGAACACCTAGGTTGCTGTTGAGTCTACTCTCTCGATCGGCTGCCTCCTTGACTGCCGCCATCAGTTCGTGGGTTTTTGTCTCCAACGCCCAGTTTTCGTCCTTGTAGCGCTCTTCGCTCTCGTCCAGAGCACGGATCCGCTGGGTGTACCCCTCCGCTTCCAATTCAAGCCTTGACTTTTCCAGGTTGAGGATCTTCAAAGCCTCCTCGCGCTCAGCAAGCAGCGCCTGTAACTGGCGAACCTGGGCCAGGAGGGAGGTCGAGATTTCGGTGGCGAATTCGATGTCATGGACGCGGGTCGAAGATTGGTTGCGCTGTTTGCGAGACGGTACGCTCACTTTACTTGGGGAATTCGTTGCTTGACCGGCGAACAGGGCGGGACTGATTGGTGACTGCGAAGGATAATTAGCAACCTGCGCACGCTCAGCGGCTTATACAATAGCCTCGGCATACCTTTTCGTATGGGGTGCCCAAGTGACTATCCTCACCACCCGCCATGCGTTTCGGGGCAAGGAAAGCCCGCGCAGTTTCCCGGCCAATTTCATTGTACTCCTTCTCCAAGTCCGCGAGCTTTTGACGAAGGTCGGGCCCAATCTGGCCCGCCTCCTGCTGCTGTTCGACTTCCTTCAACTTCTCCTCGAGCTCCTTCTGCTGCTCAATGAGAGCAGTGCCGAGCTTGCTGGCCTCCTCGAGCCTACGCTCTGTCTCTGCCAGATGCGCTTCGAGGGCTCGTTTTGCCTGCGCCGGGGAGGATGCATCTAGACTGTACAGCTGGGTGTCAAAGGATGAGTACCGGTGCGAATCGCGAGGAACGGCGCCCTCCTGGGAGGCAGAAACGAAAGGGTCTTCGATTGTCGACATGTTGCCAGTTGTCCCTCGTCCACCATCGGCAGTAGCGTTGATCATGCGGCCTGAAGAGACAGCCACTCTTGCGGCTGATCGAACAGCAGGCTGTGCCTAATCCCGTAGGGTGAGGGTACAGCCAACGTCAATAGCCCGCACAGTCGTCGCTTCGTTTCTCGTTTTCTTCGTTTTAATTTTCGGTCATCCTCCGGTTATGCGACGATCTCTTTGCCGGCCTGCTTGCTTATTCTTAGTTTTCCTCTCCAATGCGAATGGCGATTCGGTGAGCCGACCTGCGACCCGATCTTCGCAACACCTCGGGGCTGGAAGAGTTCGCGACCGTCAAACAATAGGGGATGCGCGTTGGTGACCGATGATTCGCTGCGGTGGCCGCGTCGATTGCCGACCGAAGAAGACAACAAAAACACTTTGGTATCGGCGGATTACGATACCGGGAGCCGAAGGTGGGCGGTTAGGCCTCGTCTGTGACGAAGAGACTTGGGGCAAGGAAGTGAAAACCTGCTCCAAGAGAAGCTTCGGACAACAAACGCGTGTCTGTCCAGTAAACGCAGAGTAACCTTGTGCGTGTGCGACCAGATGTGCGCCTTCGGGACGAGGCAGCGGCGTGCGGGCGAAACAAGGGAGTCGCCGAGAAGCGGGCGCAGAATGAGAACCAAGGACGGAGGGAAGGAGGATCCAGGAAATTACGGGTACAGGCGGATGCAATGAAGCGTCCACACTATACAATAGATAAGATCAAAAAAGATATAAGTAGGGATTATTAAGAGTGAAAATGATGTGGTAGAAGAAAAGGAAGGACCAAGGGTCAATGCGAAAGGAAGGGTACGTAGGGAAAGGAAAGTAAGGCAAAGAAAGAAGTTGGTTTAAGTCCGAAGGGGAAGTAGACACAAGGAAAATGGGAAAAGGGCAATTGGATGAAGGGGGGAAGTTGGAAATGGTGAAAGGGGAGATGGGGAGGAAAGGAAGAGAAGGGAAGGGGGAAAATGAGGGAGTGATTCAAGGCAGAGAGTGCCAGTTGTTGATGTTGTTGTTGTTGTTGGTCAACGAGACGAGAGCGACTCGTTCGTTGGGCGGGGGAAGGAGAGGAGGGAGGGAGGGAGGAGGGAGAGAGGGACGGATGGACGAGAGTCAGTTCACCCTAACCAGTAGTAACCTAACTACCTCACTTAACTCACTCACTACTCTTCCTCACTACTAATCTTGGGGTACCCTGAGTTAGTGTAGTTAGTACTAAGAGTCGTGAGGAACGAGGGAGACACCAGAAAAGGAACTAACTAACTAAAGAAAAGGGAGCCCACCTCGGCAGGGGAATTAATTATTCTTCGGGGCACCGTTTGCCTCAGGTTCCCCTCCGGTCAGCACCGACCGTCAACAACAGTACCTCTCTCTGTCCTCTGTCTCTGTTTCTCTTCTCTCTTCTCTCGTCTCTGCTTGAACTACTAGAAAGTCACAGCAGTGCTTATACCAGGATGGTAAAGTCCCCCAAGGCTAACGGCAAATAATTCCAAGAATTATTGTGGGCAGCAGAGCCAAAACAAATGGTGCCTGAAGCATTAATTGATTGGATACGTAATGGCAATGCTGGCCGATTGGGAGAGGGGGAGCCGATCTTGGGATCTGGTATTTATTGATTGTTTGACTTGACACCACATTCTCCATCCATCCATCCATCCATCCATCCATACATATACATACAAAGTGAAGCCCATATCGGAATAGGGACATGGGACAAGTCACGATCTACCGGACTAGGGGTCTGTCATCAGCTAGCTTCCCTTGGAACCAGACAAGCAACATTGAAGGTTATTCAGATGTCCACAAAGTACAAAGTAAACCAACTACTGGAGAGGGAACTAAGTAAGCCCTCCCGCACACGCGTAGCGAACAGACAATCCATTTTAAGTTGCAAGGGTGTGACCTGCCCGATGATCACCACCACCACCATCACATTCCCGCTCACTGCTAAACCAGTCGGGCGGGTTCCCCCTCCCCAAAATACCATCCAATCCACGGTACCCGGCATTCAACAAGAAGAGGTACCCGTACCACAACCTGGCAGATTCGGTAATATCTTTCAGCTGGGTGAGGCTAGCCTGTTTGCTAGGTTTGCATGGATGCCTTTTTTTCCTCCCCTTCCCAGTCACCTGATGCCGATCGGGACTTAGTTAAGGTCATGTGATCTGTAAGCCGAGCGATTGGGATCCGATACACAATACTCTGTACTCAGCTGTAGTTGCTCGCGCGTCTCTACAAAGTACTATTAGAAGAGAAGAAAAGCAAAAAGACAAGACTTAGTTTCAGCTGAATGCACAGCCCCAATGCTCAAATGCTGTGTCCATTGTCACCTCGATCTGTCAATCTGCAGGTCCTGCAAATGTCGCACGTAGGGGATGAACCACGTGTCAATCACATTGGATGACGCATCATTCCAGAAACTCTCTCTCACCGAGAAAGGGTGAGCTGTTCATTAGGTACCGGCTGTGAGGCTCTAGTTAAGATGTCAGATGGACGAAAGGACGAGAAAGAATAGTTAGTTAATAAAAAGAAAGTTTGACTCAGCTGAGTTGTGCAACTTCGATAGCATTGAATCTTATTGTGCGCCCCTTGCTCCCTTTGTACTCGGTTGCCAAGACCGTTGGAGAATCCATTCTTAAGATTTGACCACTGTTTACTGATCTTCCACTCGAGTACTTAACTTCATGGATGTAACGCTACTTGGGCATAAGTCCATGCAGCGGTGCCCATGTAGTTCTGCTATGTGTCACGGTGCTATGCAGTGGTTGCATCATCCAGTTCTTTGAGTAGTATGCAAATCCATGGATTCTGCGTAGGGAACTAAAGGAAGACCATTTGAGAGAAGATGACAGAATTTGAAAGTGCAATGATGTTAATAGGTATCATGTATTGTGCCAGAGTGGTAATTGCCTTGGATATTATATCATTGTTAGCAAATTCAACATCAACCTCTCAAAATTCCAGGGTTACTGTTCCGCTGCCGCGCACTATATAAAATACGTTGTCCATGTTATTCCGCACTTAGTATCGAAACAGATTTAAGGATTTCAGGCGATAAGCATTGACTGATCAAAAGTAGTAAGAAAATCATGAATGAATTCCAATAGAAAGAATAACTGGCAAATGGTGATTTAGGGAATTGCGAAAGGTAATTTCTCTGGGAAATCGAGCCAGGCAACAATATAATGAGCCATGGTAAAACTTATCTATGTCCACAGCAAAGCCGAAGGAGTCCGACGGTCTTATTTTATCCGCCATCACAGCTTGTGAGCCCTTTGATATATGGATCCACACACACACACTCTCTCAAGTGGAGCTGATCTAAGTCACTATATTGTCGTCCCCAGACCACAGTCTATATCTGTGCGCGTGGGTAATGATGTGTGTAGAACTTCGGTTAGAATGAGTGTTCAAGGGTGCTGGTAGAGTTCATAGCAAACATAGGATAACAGTCATGAGTAGTTCTCTAGGCTAAACGATGGATAAAGGAGAAGTTATCGGCCACTTACTACGTATTTGGATATGTGTGCGCTGACTTTGAAGTAAGTTCAGATGGTATTTATATGAACTAGCATGGCTCATGGAGGAGCTCAAGCTCAATATTACAAGAGATGAAGTTCATATCGCGTCTTGTTATTTTTGCTTCGATTATTCACACTGGCGAGCATGGGTTCCTGGTGATTCATTCTCTCTAGGTTTGATATGTAGTAATACTGTACCATTGGCCGATACTAACGGCTGCGCCTGGGTATGGCGCCAACTAAAGTAGCACTGGGTATTGCCTGATATATCTTTCTAATGTAGTCATATGAATCCTTCATCCTGCCCCCCTCCCCCGCACTACTATTCGCTGTGCTAAGTTACTGATTTAGCTACTGATAATATCCACTACTAATCCTGGGGGCCATTATCTTTCCTTATAAGGTCAGCCTGGCTAAGCCTTGCTGGGCGCCACATTGACTGTTAAGGCTGTTTTGGGGTTTTCCGAAAGCGGAAATGTACTGAGTAAGCTTAGTATATCCCAAAGATACCCTGATGGAGAATAAGCGACACAAGAACTACGAATTCGAAGAGGCAGGAAAGCCGAAAAGAGTCAAGACACAGAATGGGCGGGGCGGCGAGATGAAGCCGAATGGATAAAAAAATAAAAGAAATTAGATCCGAATGTGGGTTGAAGTCTGACTTTGAGTCCTTATCAGTGGATAAATCCCCGAGGCACTTGTCATCTGGCGGGCAAATCATATATCCATTCCCCAGCTGTCCACGTACGTATCTAGATTGGTACGCAGTGGGCCATGGTTCTTCGTGTTCGTTTGCCTGCCCACCGGTACATGTCTGTTTCAAGTGTCTCATGGCCATTCTCTTATCCACCGTGTTCGGGACGTGCGAGACAATGTTGCCGATCCGGGGTGACAGTTTTTGGCAATCCAACCGAAGAAACTTGGAAACCGTCGAACGTTGGGTTTCGAAAGAAGGCTGTGACATGCGAACCATGGCGGATTAGCGTCGCAGCTGCGTGGCATATTTGGCCAGAGATATTAGTGGTGCCCACGTACGCGCAATGGCCCCCCGCGACGTCATCCCGTCAAGGGGCAAAGGTTGACCGCCACCAGTGGTCCATGGTTTTTGCACAGCCAAGTTGAGGCATGGAAGGGCGGGCGATCTCAACTTCTTTATACGAGGGGGGAGAAGATTTTATGGAGGGGAGACTCCGAGATGGGGACAAGGGATTGAGAAAGATACCGAGAGTGGTATAATCAGTCAGCCGTAATAAATTATGGTATGTCTCAAAGTAACCTAAAGACAAGATGTCGTGCTCCCAGTCTAAACTTGGCGGCTGCCAAGCTTCCCCGCTAAGAACCCGCTAAGGAAGAAAGTGGTTCCCTTAAGGTTTGCGATTGTCTGAGGGGAACTCTCCATTCCCCAACAGCCTATGACAGTCTCTTCCATTCCCCCCCCTTAGTCTTCATCTTTGGGGAGCCAAACGATAGCAACAATTTTAACGCGTGGCCGCTCAGTGGGGGGTTACGGTTACGCCCCACTCCCTCCATTGCCGCGCCACAACAAAAGACTAACTGACTGAAAGATTCGCTGTGCCTGAGCGGGCGAAACAGAAGCTGGCAGATGGGGGCTGGAATTGGAAGCATTCGATGGACCTTCCTCCCACGCCTACTAAGTCTAAGTCTAAGTCTACTACTACTCGTCTTAGTGACTATTTTAGTCCAGAAGTCACTAAAAAGTACCTACTTAATACTACCACTGCACCTACCGCCTTGGTAGGCAGACAAATAGGTTAATCAATGCTCCTCCAGTCTCCTTTCCTGATTACCTCGCCTTGACCCCTCTCGTCCGTCTTCTCTCTCTCCCCTTCTCTCTCGTCCTCTATCTTTCGCAATATGCTTCACATATAGCCCCTCCAATACCCTCCTTTTTTTCTATTTATTCTTACCCCCTCTTTACCTTCCTTTGGATTCTTCCTTATCGGATTGACCCTCCTTTTAATGCTTGAAATTATCCTCTCCATCTTGCATCTTTATCGGTCTTTCCCGACTCAAGTCATTCCTTACACCAAGCTGTATTGTGACAACATCAATCTTCATCAACCTCCAATCTTGTCACCCTCATAAGAGAAGAACGGCGTCCAAGCTGTGTTACATTGATTACGGCCTTACGACAATAGTCCTCGTTGGCTTTTCAACCAATTTTCTTTGGATAAAGTCCTGAGTCGTGCACAGAAGCTACCGACTTTCAGCTATCCACCATGAGATGGGGCGCTCGCATAGCACTATGTGCTAGTTTAGCACTCATCTTGCCCTTATATCTCTTGAAGATCCACCTCGAGGACCTCTGCGATCAGTATCGCGCGGGCGCATACCTGATCAATTGGCTGGATTTGCGCCCGCCGATGAACAGACTAAATGGCTCCCGTCCTGTCACACCAGGGGATAAAGTGATTGTGATGGCCAAGCTACAGGAAGAGCACACTGAATGGGTCGAGGAGGAGCTACCCGAGTGAGTGTTATTGTCCTCCTATATTACCCATATGTTTCAGCGCACTGACAGCTTCTCTCCTCCAAAGCTGGCAACGAGCCATATACATCGTGAACCCCTCCAAAAAGGTCGCAGCTGACGACACGACACTTACAACCCCGCTGAACAAGGGTCACGAGTCCATGGCTTATCTCACCTACCTAATTGATCATTACGACAACCTACCGTCTACAATTGCTTTTCTTCATTCTCATCGATCGGGTTTCCTGATGGCCTGGCATGTAGATGCGCCCTTACACGATAATGTCATTGCGATGAAATCCTTACGTCTCAATTTCGTTCAAGATAATGGCTACGTCAACCTCCGCTGCAACTGGAACCCAGGGTGCAAGCAGGGCCATCGCACCAACCAGCACGTGACAGAAGAAGTCTTTGCGGAGATCTTCGAGGGCACAAGCACCCCGCCATTAAACTCCACCGGAGGCCTCACGATGCAAGATGAATACGACGAGGCTAAATACCAGAAGTTCCTGCAAATGCCGAAACAAATTGGCGCGGCGTGTTGTGCGCAATTCGCCGTGTCACGGGAGCAGGTTCACCAACGACCACGAGAAGACTACATCAAGATCCGCCAGTGGATTATCGATACAGACAAGAATGATGCCAGTAGCGGTCGTGTCATGGAATTTCTCTGGCACGTCATATTCGGCAAAGAATCAATATAGTACGTTGCCTTTGCATCGCTCCCCCCTGAATGCATTTTGACCACTAACATTCCGCCACTCACAGCTGTCCCGACGAAGAAGTCTGCTACTGTCAAGTTTATGGACAATGTTGATCACTGTACGCATACCGTTAACGTTTCTGCTTTTCACCAAAAATACCCACGGCTTCTACTTGTATATATTACGATAGCTTCTTTCTTTCGGCGCTCTTTTGCTTGGTTCTCTCTTCCTATCTTTCGACATAATGTTCCCATTTGGGTGAATTTTTTTTCGCTTGTTCTTCAAAACCAGTTCTTGTGGATCATTACCGGCGACAATACGTTTCTACCGGGATATTACAAACAGCGTGGCGTTGTTTACAGGGACTGCTCGGTTCAAGTTGACTCAGTTGACACACTCGTCCCCCGCATTTTCTTTTCGGCGGAGAAGCCTGACTACTATCGTTAACGGCGAATATGGTTGGATATTTTACGATCGTTTCAATATTAATTCGAACTTGGAAATACGCTACACCGGTGACTTGTTTCTGAAAGAAAACAAAAAGGCCTCGGTAACCGAATCTTAAGGGGCTTGTTTTGGAAAAGTACTTGGACCTGATATGGTTCATATGATTATGTCTCTACTGTTACTCTGCGATTTGATGGCATCCCGCTAGTCCAGCGGACGCGATATTTTTTAATGGGACAAAACAGTTACATCGCCTAAGAAGCGTTTCCATTCATGTTCTCGTTGAAGGATTCCTATCTTCGACCGTCCAACCCCACGATTAATTACAAGCTCATGCTATCAAATAACGACAGCCACCATTAGGGGTGTTAAATAGTGGATCAAACAAGTGCATGCCATGCTACTGCTCCAAGAACTCCTCTACCCGCTCAATAAGATCCGCTTTCTTACCGGCATTTGAGCGTCCATTGGAGGTCAAGAAATCTTTCAGAATGGCGACCGTAAGCTAGAAACCGCTGGTCAGTAAAATGTCATAGATATCATCAAGAGGCCATGTAGGACGCTTGTGCTGGCTTACCTTGGATAGCGTCCCCTTCTCGTGATGCCTGCGGACCTCTTCCTCTAGGTTTCCGGAGCCCTCCTCGACCTTGATTTTCTTCGATGGTTTGGAGTCTTCGGTTTCGCTTGCTCGGTCTTTGGATCCTCTTTTCACGAGGGTGCTTGTTGGGTGAGGGGCCGCTGTTGAGGTTTTGGCGTGTTGTTTCTCGAGTTCCTCGGCCCAGGATAAGACGTAGTCGCCGGCGCGCTGGGGTAGAGTTGTTAGTTAGGTAAACATTGGAGAGGCATTTGTTGTGTTGGGTATGATGGATGTACCTTGTCGATTTGGCGATATTTGGGAATGGTTTTGTCTTCTGGCTTTTCAGGGAGATCTTCGTCTAATGCGAGAGCTTGTAGGATGCGGTAGTGCCATTGAAGGGCTGGTTACAGGCTGTCAGCTTCCCACCCATAATATACGAGGAGTGGATGGCGGAGTTGACTTACATGGATTGGGGTATCTGAGAGGCTCGTACACCCCCTTCGGCAGCTGCAATTGTTGAACGACCACGCGCATCTGATCGATTAATGACTCCGGGGCGACATTCAACGTGGTTTCGGGGTTCTGCCGGATATCGTCTGCGAAAGGCAGGGGAAGAATCCACATGCCAGGAGGGTACTTTTGTACGCCATTCTCATCAAGCTTTTCTTCGCCTGCAATCATAGCGGCGAGGACGGGGCCAGCACCCTTGCGCGCAATGAACCAGACGAGTGCCATCTTCTTGTTACGCAAAAGCGTCTGGTGCAATGCAGAAAATACTCGCGAGGAGCCTACATAGTCTTCCTCGGATGGATAGATAAAGTATGGGTGTTTGACGTTCGCCCAAAATGGAAGCGCAGTGATAGGCTTGAACCCTATAACCCTGATCACTGGCTCACCGAAGTCCCTGAGCGCCTTCTGTTCATCAGGCGAAAAGGTAACTTGGTCTCCACCGAACTTATATGCCTTTCTGATCTCCCATTTCTCGACATTACGGCCAGTATCATCTGCAGAATGGGTAGTCACGCCTTTCGCGACCACAGGCTTCTCGCCGTTCAGCCAGATGAAGGAATTTCTAGCGGGCGCTTGCCTTCGTAAGAGTATATAGCCCGATACCGAGATCTTGAAGTCTGGCCCGAGTTCTAAAGGCATGTTCGAGAAATGAGTGCGACGCGGGACCGTTCTTGAGTTGATACTGGATAGAAGCGTGTTGAGAAGTGAAATCCCGTCCCCGGTCGCTGTCGCCGCCTTTGAATCTGTTTGTAGATACGTAGGCGCCTCTGGATCGTTGGGCGATGACTTGTAGATAATATCCTTTGTATATGGAGTGAGTATTGACCACTACCACTTTGCCATAGAGTATGATAGCTTACGTCATAGAACTTGCTGTTCATGAATTCATGCTCAGGACGTGAGATCGGAAACAGCTCAATGGTGACACCAAGATCGTAAAGATCCTTAGCACGTACAGTCGCGGCCGACCGTAGGGTTTTATCATCACCATGGGGGTTGTCATTGTCGGTTATGATGAACAAGCGACGGGAGAGGAAATTTGGCGCTCTGGATGTGAATATCTGGTTGGCGCAGAATAGGACGTTTGCCATAGAGACTTGCTCTTTCGCCGGAGCTAGAATGTCCCTTGAGTCTCCATCATCATCCACCAGCGCTCGAAGTTCTTGGACCTCCTGGGCCGAAGGAACATCCAGGTCAGTGAAGAGGTAGCAGTTGGGGTAGGAGAGGTCTCCGCGACTGTCTTCATCTTCTTCGAAGAACTTGGACGCCTGCGTCCCAAACAGCAAAACCCCCATCATGTCTTGTGGATTGGATATGATTCGTTGTTGCATAAAGTGATAAGCGCATTTGAGCGCTGCTGTAGTGGGTGATTCTTGGGTGTGTTTCTTAGGGTCTGCTGAGGGACGAGGCGTCAACATGGAATCGCTGACATCGATTGCGAAGAGGACTGCATCTTTGACTGATCTGTAGCTCTGATCTTATCGTCAGTTCCAGACTTTCAGTCCAGGCTCATGGGTAGGATGTGCGTACAGTCTCATCAATCTCCTCCTCTTCCTCAGCCGCTTCATCTTCGCGATGTGGGTTACCGTCCGCCATACTGGTTGTGGTAGAGTGGGTTGAAGTATTCAAAGTAGTATCGAAATGAAGACAGGGAAGTATAAAGCTTTTAGATAAGTTGCATTCGAAATAAGGAACAAGTGGGGCTGTTGTGTCTGCCTGTTTGGCCTCTGCTGCCTGCAGCCGAGGGGAGATCTAGTATCTATATCGTCACTGGATCCCGTCGCGAGGGACGCGATAAAACCGGCGGGCAGAAAGACGCGGGGAGACACGAGCATCATGTGATGTCCATCCGGTAATTGATGACGCTAGGTGGCCGGTCATTGGCTGTCGGGGGTCGGAGTTAGTCGTGGTATCGATGCTCCGTCATCAAGCCGTTCTGGACTTTTCAGCTTCCAGAAGGCCTTGCGCTGTTGTATACACCCACTACCTCTTCTTGCCACTCGTCTATCAATCGATTATTTAATGCAGGCTTGAATTGTTCATCCATTTGCGCGATACGAACGGCCTTTCCTTGTACCTCCTTTGACTAGCTTACCCGATCCTACAATTACCTGTCATGGCTCTCCGCCGCCCGTTTACTCTTCCCCGGCAATTGCTGCGACCGGCATCTCGCACCCTGTTCGGATATGAGCAGGAACAAAGACGTGGGCTAGCGACAACGGTGCCTCCAGTTACCCAGGATGCAACAGGCTCTAAGGGCCCTACGGCCATGGTCTTCCTCAACATGGGAGGGCCCTCGACGACAGACGAAGTAGAGGATTTCCTCAGCCGGCTCTTTGTACGTATCCGACCATGGCAAGCTGTCATTTTGGCTGCAATATTTCTAACAGTTTACTTTTAATAAAGGCCGACGGCGATTTGATTCCTCTAGGCAGGTTCCAGAATTACCTCGGGCCTCTCATTTCAAAGCGACGCACACCCAAGATCCAAAAACAGTACGCGGACATTGGCGGAGGCTCACCCATCAGGAAATGGTCAGAATATCAATGTGAAGAAATGTGCAAGCTGCTGGATAAGATCAACCCGGAGACTGCGCCTCACAAGCCGTATGTCGCCTTCCGTTACGCCAACCCGCTGACGGAACAAATGTATACACAATTGCTAGAAGATGGTTTTGGCAATGGCAAGGGCGGTCGTGCGGTCGCTTTTTCGCAATACCCCCAATATTCCTGCTCTACTACAGGTAGCTCTCTGAATGAGCTGTGGAAATGGAGGAATCGGCTGGAGGGCAAGCGAGCAAACGGAAACGTGGACACTTCCGGAGCCATCCAGTGGAGCGTTATCGACAGATGGCCTACACACCCTGGCCTTGTGGAGGCGTTTGCGAGAAACATTGAGGACCAACTCAAAACCTATCCGGAAGATAAGAGGAATGGAGTGGTTCTCTTGTTCTCGGCCCACAGTTTGCCCATGAGTGTTGTGAACAGAGGTGATTCCTTGAGGAACCTGTTACGAAGTCCCGGTGGCTAACCGAGTACTTTCTCTTTTAGGTGATCCCTACCCAGCCGAGGTCGCTGCAACTGTGCATGCGGTCATGCAAAGACTCAACTTCAGCAACCCTTACCGCCTCTGTTGGCAGTCTCAGGTTGGACCAAAGGCTTGGCTGGGGGCGCAGACTAGCGATACCGTTCAAGAGTATGTGAAGCGTGGACAGACTGACATTGTCCTCGTACCAATCGCCTTCACCAGCGACCACATCGAGACTCTGTATGAGCTGGATCTCGAAGTCATGGAAGAGGCGAATCACCCGGGTGTCAAGCGGGCCGAAAGTCTGAACGGCAGCCCTGTATTCATCCAAGCCCTTGCAGATCTTGCTAAAGAGCACTTGCACAAGGGCGAGAAATGCTCGCTGCAAATGACGCTGCGTTGTCAAGGCTGCAAGAGTGAGAGGTGCTTGGAGCAGAAGAAGTTCTTCGCTGGTGAACAGGGAGCGTCCCTGGTAGTATAATTTACCAGGAACCAGAGTTTCCTTTTTTTTCTTTTTCTCTTAGAAGGGTTCTGTTCTTTGAGATGTGTATGTGAAGGCGTTCTCTGTACGATAGTCTGTGTGTCTATACAAGCAATAAGCAACGAGCTACAACCATTGAGTTTACGATTTCGGCAAATTCCTCATGTGGGCGAATAGGCTTTCCTGTGAATTAAACCAGTCAGTGGCAGAATCACCGTCGTACTAGTGTTTTAACTCCTGGCAGTTCCTATGGAGAGTTTCTGGAACTGGGAAGGGGTACTACTGTAGATAGTCGACAGCGTGGAGTGATGTAAGTGGCCCGAGGCGGCGGGTAGTCCAGGGCGTTATCGCCGAGCTGACTTGCCTTGCTTCTGAGATTTCTGAGACTTGCATACCCGGGGCTGATCCCCGAGAAATGGGCTTGAACCGTGAAACATCTCCCACAATCACCACCCACCACCAGTCATGGCCATTTCTAGGCTGAAATTCTAGAATCACGTCACCACTACCTACCGATAAGATACTGACATGCGCTGGCATGTGTTCCATCCCAGCATTTGCTGACCTGTCGTGTGTTTCATGCCGATTGATAAGCGAATGGCTCGGAGTTTAACTTAGTAAACGGACTACCATTTAACTATCTGGTCTCCTTGCCGGCTTTCCCCCCGCCCGGTTTTCTCAAATGTTTTGAGCCCACCTCAGGTGTTGTACTGTTTCAACCCCAGAGCAAGCAAATGTAGGCACCAGCCTAGTTGCTCTACCCATTATTCTGCTTCTAAGGTGCGAAACCGCTCGCACCATGTCCACAATCAGGCGCGGCGCATCGCCGACTGCGCATACCGAGGTTGGTCCGGGATTGCAAGCCGGACTGGACGCTTCTGCGCCAATTGATACTGGACTGGAGACTTGGGAAGACCCCATGCACACCCATGAGCGAACCCCTCTATTGGAACAAGACAACGAAGAGTCGCTACCGGAGCATGGCCATCGGGCTAACCCACCAAATGATGATCCCGTCGGCCAGGGGGGTTTCTGGCAGACATGGAGACGGCCAAGCGTGAGTCTCCATCAACAATGGACAATGGTCGTGCCCGCGACTTCTGACACGTAACAGATCCTTTGGATTCTTCCATTTCTTGTCTTCTATATGCTAGGTATCGGCGGCACTGCAGTGCCCAAAATCAACCTGATGATGTCTCTCATTTGCAGGGACTATATGGCGAACAAGGCGACCCAGGACCCGGGTTTCACGTATCTGCCTGTCATCATTGGAAATAAGAATTCGCAGTGTCAGACACCCGAAGTCCAGTCATTGCTTGCTCAGTTCCAGTTATATTTCAATCTCCTGGCCGGGATACTATCTGCGCTGGCATGCCCCAGACTCGGTCACCTATCAGATCGCTACGGTAGGACAAAGATACTGGCCCTCAACGCATTGGGGACCATTTTGGCGGAGGCTATCTTCGTCTTTGTCTCAGCCAAGCCAGATCTTGTGTCTGTGCATGTGCTTCTACTGGCTGCCATCGTCGATGGCGTCTGTGGTTCTTTCACCACCATCATGGCACTGACAATGTCGTATGCCTCCGACTGCACCATCCCAACGAAGCGGAGTGCGGCATTCGGGTACGTATACGGTTCTCTTTTCGCTGGAACCGCAGCTGGGCCTCTGCTGGCGGCTATCTTGATTAAGAAAACAGGCCAGGCACTGAGTACCTTTGAGGCCTCGTTGGCCCTGAATGTTCTCTACCTCATTGCAGTCATGACCATCATCCCAGAATCATTATCGACAGACCAGCAGCGGCAAGCGCGGGACAGTCATCGAAGAAAAGTCATCGACGAAGGGGAGGCAGGCTGGCTGAGCCTGGAGAACCTCAACCCCAAAAGGCTAATTACACCTTTGGCTGTTTTGCTACCGCCAGTAGGACGTCCCGGCACGCTTTTCCCCAATCGCCACGGCGCGACCCCGGCTTTGCGCAGGAATATCATTCTTCTTACAGCGATGGATACCATTGCATTCGGGGTAGCGTTGGGAACCGCTCAAGTGATCATCATTTATGCCGAGTACAAATTTGACTGGGGCAATGTGGAATCAAGCCTCTTCATATCGATTATAAGCATCGCCCGGGTCGTCAACCTTTTTGTTGTATATCCGATCATCATCGCAATCTTCCGTGAACCACCAAAACCAGATCACATCGTTCCCGGCTCCAGCACCTGCGAGATTGTTATTATACGACTTTCGCTTTTCCTAGACATGGTTGGGTATGTGGGTTTTGCGATGTCATATCAGGGTTCCATCATGGTATTCTCGGGGATCGTCATGGCACTTGGCGGCATGGGGATACCGACAATGCAATCCTCTCTCACGAAACATGTCCCTCGTGAACGGTTGGGTCAGATCCTTGGCACAAAAGGGCTCTTGCATGCTCTGGCTCGAGTGATCTCTCCAACCGCTTGCAGCCTCCTTTACAGCCTGACGGTTGGAAAGTTCACTCCAGCGATATTTGTTGTCCTGGGGGCCTTGTTCTTGCTCACCTTCTGTGCCAGCTTCTTCATCAAACCACATGGTATGTGACCTACATACCTCATTGTCTAGGAAGGTCTGCTAACGACTCTGTGCTTGACAGTTACTCTTGACGACTCTTACCCAAATAGTCCTCGAGATGAGGCTAATGACGAAGGCTTCGTGGCGGATCCTATTCTCTAGTGATGCTAGAAGTGGAGCCTAGCAGTTACTATACTACGCGCGTCCGCTGATCTGGGTCACGATTAGACTGATCTTCGTGACGATCGGCGTATAGATTTGTTCAATTATATATGTGATTTTTGGGTAGCAGTTTATACATTCGATAGAATTCGCCAAAGGACCACTGTAGCATGATTCCATGGACTAATTGTCAGAGTATAAGGTAGTAAGTCTGAGAAAAGGCCGGGTAAAGGATGTTAGTAAGACGAGTGGGCACACCGGGAAAAGACCGGATGCGGTACGGCGGGCGGTAGCGACCAACTCGACCAAGCTGGTGCAAACTTTCCGACCGACAAGCTCCGAATCCCTCCTACTCCATCATAGAACTCCAATTGTCTCAATTGACCAGCCGGCGCGGGGTTCCTGACGGTTCCTCTGTCATTGAATCCTCGTAGCCTTCTTTTTCACTTAATGATTTAGTGGTGATCCGAGCCAGCCCGCTGTCAGCGGTGCGCAAGGTTAACCACCATGGTCTCCAAACCCACCAGCGGCACACCAGCTGTGCCATCACGAAATGCCCTACGAGTCCTCCGTCGATTGGCTCTTGCAGGATCGACTGTGGGAAGCTTTTGCACGGTTGCAGCCATTACCTACGACGTCCATCGTCGGGTGCGCGTTGCGGAACGAATTGTCGAAAACAAGCGGGCCCTGCAAACCTCAGCCCCGAACTACGATGCAACATCTGCAGCAAGGAGACTAGCACGTATGATGGAGGCGGCTGAGGCAGGAGAGTTTATGGGCTTGGAATCACTAAAGGAGCAAGATCGGAAGTTCAGAGAAGCGCAAGCTGTCCCCGCTGGGGTGGACGTCCGTGGTGACGACTTGAGCTGGGATGTCCAGCTGCAAGACCAACAACCTGCTGCCCCTACGGAGACTTATATGGACACTGCACGCTCAAAGTTGATTGACACCTTTACTCCCGGACAAGTACCAGCCAATTTGACCTCAGCTCCCGATCTCCCTCCGAACCTAACACGATCGACCGATGCACTGGACCGAGCAAAATCCGCCCTTGCCAATGCGAACCAAAGAACAACCGAAGGTCATGAGAAACAAACAGAAGATGTAGCTCAATGGCATGATTCAGTCACAGAAGAAATGCAAAAGTTTCTTGACCACGGTCGCCCTATTGATGCCGCCCACTTGTTTTTGGACGCCCACCCCGCGACGTTGAACGGCATATCTACAGATAGACGGGAAGTTACGGTCAAGACATTTTATGCGAATTGCAGAGAAGAAAACGTTATGGTTGCGAGGAACATTTTCGAGCGCCTAGAAGATGTGGACAAAGTGTCTCCTGGTATGTGGAAAGTTTTGATGTTCGCGCTAGCGAGAAAGGGGAGCATCGAATCCGTCGCCACTATATTTACCCGATACATGCACAAATTCAAAGTGCCACCGGAAATGGTCGATATCGTGCTCCGATGTTTACTAGAGTCTCATCGACTTACTACGGCCAAATGGTTTCTTCTGCGGAACCTCGAGGTTGATCGTGGCTGCGGCTTATGCGGCGCCTATCTCGCCGGGCTTTGGAAGAAGACAAGGAGTATCGAGCTTTTGAACGGGCAATTGAAGAAGATCCTGACTATCCTTCCACGCTTGGGAAAGGAACCCACTGACAAGCTCTTTAACCCCGTGATCAAAGCATACGTGGAATTCGGTCGGCTGGCTGATGCGGAAGCACTGGTTAAAGACATGACGACTAGATACGGCATTCCACTTCGCTGCCGAACAAAGGGTCTTTTGGTATTTGGAAGGGCTTTGGCCTGTGATTGGGAGGGCGTGGACGCTGGGTTACAGCAGATGCATGAGCTTAAGCTGACCTCGAGGAAGTATGACTTTACGCCGATATTTGACCGCATCTTCCTCGAATACTGGGTATCACATTCCGGTGAAGAGATCCGCGAGTTTGTCTACCGTTATATCGAGAAGTTCCAGATGGTTCCCGACAAAATTCTTTACAAGCACATTCTGGAGGCATTCGTGGAAAAGGGTAATAAGGAAATGGTTGATGAATTTGTGCGGTTCGCACGTGAGCGCCGTTGGCCGAACTTCATCAACGAGCAGGAATTCTTGGAAATGCTCCGAAAACGTCGACACGCTCTTGAGGAAGCGCCAGTGGGATTCTGGCAGATGCTGCAGGCAGCTCGTGCGAAGTATGGACAAGCTGCCACATCGCAACAAGTGCTTGGATATGACCAGCGGTCATTCCCACTCGCGGAAGTCAACTTGATGCCGTACACGCAGGACCCGTTACCGTGGTATCAACGAACGCTGCAACACATGACTCCCTCGAGGCCAGTTGACCAATACCAAAAGCTCCACAAGCAGATGTCTCATTACATGCATGTCGGTAAGCTGACGGAGGCGTTGAAATGCTTTGAGAATGCCAAGAACGCGCGGTTCCAATTCAAGCAGTTGCATGTTGAACTCGCAGTAATCTGCACTCTGCTTGAAGAGGGTGTCGGTGCTGCTCGTGCTTTGATCGACTCCGAGTGGAAGAATATTCGCCACTTGGTTCGCTTCTTCCCCCAGTTCTTCCGCCAGATCATGGAGGTCGACTCTGAGGCTGAAGGCCAGCTGATCAATATGGCCGTGCTTCGCTTCTATGAGCTGTGCTGGTCAAACAAGAAGATGACAGTCAAGCACCACATCACGGTAGCCACCAGCAGAAGACTGATCGCAGTGAAGAAGCCTGAGTTGGCCGTTGATCTGCTGGCCAATGTCTACATGTCCCGCTTCCGGCACTCGTTGGCATATGATGGTGTCTGCATGAAAATGTTCATACGTGCGTTTGCCGCGACTGGTAATCTGCATGGCATGCGGTGGTGCATCTTGACCGCTCTGGCCCGAGGAAGCGCACTTAACCGTGACTTTGTCATCGAAGCCCGCCGGGTCACTGGAAACCTGCAACGTCAGCTAAGCTCGGCCGAAGGATCTAAGGATGCGTCACGGGACATGGAGAAGATCGAATATCTGACGCATGCCGTTGAACTTCTGGAGAAGAAGAGCCAGGGCGATCCCCAGCTGTGGCAGCTCAAGACAAACCCGACGGTGAAAAAGGCCGGTCGCCGGCTACTCAAGCGCCCTCTCGATGAACGGCGTCTGTACAAGAAGGCCCATCTCCAGGAGACGATTGAGGGCTGGGATGAGGAATATGAGTTGGAGGCCGTACTGGGCCGCATTGACATTGACCCGAAGTCGATTGCGCTTCGATGGAGCGAGAAGCACTGTCTGGGGCAGATTCGTGAGATTGATGATCTGCTGTGAGTTCGGGGTGGCATTCGTTCTATATCACTTCCACTATTGTTGTATTATGTTTGTATTTCCGGCTGTGTGCTTGTGTATATATCCCATGCTGCCATGTTCAATACTGTGTATACTACTTGTGATCTTATCCTGCAATTGGGTTTGTATGAATATTCCTGCGAATTCAAGTGCAGACTTCATTGAAAAGCATCCTAGATGTACAAATATGTAAATCATCACTCCTAGGGTAGTTCAGACGCACTATCTGCATAGACTCACCGAGACCGTCAGGAACAATCAACGCGCATGGTTCAGTATTTTCCATCGTGTGTGGACTAATTATAGATACAAGCCCGGTTTCACTTTCTCTTGGCTTCGTATTCGGTGTCAATTGCTGTCCACCATCACAGTATAAAAATAGCTTCCAAATTATGCTAGTATGGACCCTAGTGGGTCAAAGCTGGGTACCAAGCATTCTGGCTCTGAAGCATACTGTAGTATCTGTGATTCCCGAACCACGCCCTTCCAGTGACACGCCGAACTTCTGATAATATAAAAGCCCGAAAGCTGTTTATTCTGTTCGCCACAACCACCCCCTCCCCCAGCCCTCATTATGGCTCAGAACAACCTGACTGGCGCCTGTCTCTGCAGGAACATCACATATCGCATTACCTTGCCAGATCCAGAGACATACCCAAAGGTACTATTCCCCAATTCAACTATCTACAATCATATAATCTACCAAGTCCACCACTAACAAATACCAGCTGATCATCTGCCACTGCACCCACTGCAAACGCTACACGGGCTCGAGCTTCTCTGCCAATATTATCATCCCACGGGCTTGTTTCGAGTACACGAAGGGTACACCCAAGCTATATACGGACAGCAGTAAGAGGGGTGTACAGGTACTACGCGAGTTCTGTCCTGATTGCGGAACACCGTTCACGTCACGGTCGAGTGATGATGAGGCAGTTGTCGCGGTGAAGTCGGGGACGCTTGATGATGAGCATCGGGTTAAGTGCTCGGAGTTGGAAATGGAGATATATTATCATCGGAAAGATGGGTGGGTGGATGGGTTGGGAGGTGAGGAGGTGAAGAGGGTGGATGGGAGTATGGGGAGTTCGTCTGGAGAGGCTGAAGGGTATTGAGGATTATAGTTGGACAGAACGATGCGGGTGGGAAGTTTATTAAGTTGTGGTCACTTGGCCTTGATGAGGAAGCTAGGATATTATCAGCCTGGTTACTCTATATTGTATAACCGCATGGTACGCTGTCAATTCACTGGCTTTTTTAAATTCGACACTCCAGAGTACACGGTACCACAGACTAGAGGGGAAAGTATAGATGCTCGTACTAGATAAGCACATAGATAAACAAGGGGTTTCCTTAGTTGAAGAGGGTTTGTGACCTTCTCGAGCCAACGCATTTGGACATGTCTGGTATCGACGAACACACCAGGTAAAATTGTATTATTGCAATGAACGGATAACGAACACTAGTACTAGAATGAAAAGGCCGTGGGCTATTCTTCCTCAACTGACAGGGGATATGGCCGTAACTCCTGAAACCGTGCCCGGACTCTCTCCATGATATCAACAATAGTTGGGTCTTCCTCAACAATCTCCAACTGTACGCTAAATTGATACATGGAAAGGACTTGGTCGATAATCCGATCAGCTTTCCATTTCAGGATGGACAATGGTCTGTCGCCTGGGTGCACGTGCCGGCGTGGGCTTCGGGTCGATTTGTTTGTCTTTTTCCAGAAGCAGTGGTCACCCGCTGAGTTATTTGGCCTGTGATATTCCTCAGGCCTGGACAAATCACGCCTACTGGGCCGGTGATAATTCGGAAGATCGGCCTGCGTAGAGTCGAGGAGCGCCCCGTCTGCAGTTAGATTCATAGCCGGCTCAGTGAAGTGCTCGACGGTAAATAGAACACAGTCTTCTAGAAGCTCCGGAGCCATTGTGGTGGTGTTCATGCTCATCTCCGGCCCTCCGACTATAGCTTGGTCAAGTTCACTGGGGGCACGGGAGCTCAAGGTCGAGGAAGCGCGGCCATCCGGACAGCCAAGCTCGCGAGAATCTTTGTCGTTATCTTTCTGCTTTAAGCGCTCTCCTAGTGATAAAGTGAGAAAGTGGGGGACAGAAGCAGAGTAAGAAGTAAAAAAGGCAAACTAAGATGCCCACAAAAGCACTCACGTCGTTTGCGTTGCGACAGCCGGTTCTGGATCCGCCGCCGATCTTTGATATCGATGATCCCGTGCAGGTTGTCTTCCATGTTCATAGAAAGGGGGAGGTCCCTCTCGTGTGGGGGGAGTGAAATACGAGTCTTACCTTATAATCAATTCTTGGCTGGTGGTCTCCCCTCCCAGTAAGTGGTACTAGTGGTGTTAGATGGGAAGCTAATGCACGAGGCGAGGCTTTGAGCGCGAAGCTCACCATTCAAGAAGCCCATTCCTTCCGACCCCGACATTCTTATCTCCGAATAAATTAACTTGATACCTGAGCGCATTGATAAGTGCGTCCAGGTTATAACCGAATTGAAGTGCGAAAGGTGCGAAATACAACTTAGGAAATGAAATCACCCGACCCATGTTCCCTAGGTAGCAAAATAGTATCGAAGCTACCTAATATTGAGGTAGAAGTCATTACTCCTTCCGCCACTATTCTTTCCCCCATCCTGATCACCCTATTATCCCTGTCAATGATATCATAGTGCTCTTACTCCCGATACATGCGCCCTTGCTCGCCACTGTGAATGGCACAGTGCGTGCCCTTCCTTGCCAATCCTGGTCTGAACCTCGGGTATCATTACCTCATGGCTGATCGCTTCGATACAAGTGGAAAACGTGGGCACAGACAGTGGTCAGAATATTGATTAGACTGTTATGCATCCGCCAAATCCGACCTCGAACACCGAATGGGGCCTCTCTGAATCCAGTGGATTTGCTCCCCGTAGCCGGTCCAGTAAGTTCTCAGTGCAATGGTGTATATGGCCTAGCCCGATATCTAGCAGCGGCCCTGTAGAGGCCGTACGTGCCAGCCGGCGCCATAGGAAAATGCAGTGTCCCAAATGCTCCTCCTGGGGCGAGTGAGTTGGTACCCCCACCCTCTCCGACAAGGCTTGTTCGTCGGCGACACGCTCGTTTCCTTCACGGTCGGCAAAAAAAGGCCAGCTGCCAAATTCTCGCTCTGAGCTTTCGAGCCAGATGCGAAATTCGGCTAGAGTCTCCTGCTCAATGCAGGAGACAGGTAGCCAGGCGTATGTTACTAGATCGAATTGACACCCGCGAGACCTTGCGACATTGGTGCTGTTTCCACAATGCTGGTAATTTGGAGAGGGCACATTTGTGACTTGGTTTCCTCTTGAGACGTATGAGGGTAGAGAGACAAGTACGATGAGTAAAAATAGAGATAGTACTATGGCCAAAAATAGAGCCCATGTTGTCCGCCACCATGGTATGGATGCTTTTCGTGATGATGCATCCGCGTCATGATCCTCATCGATGGGCAGGTGTCGATATTCTGATCCACAGATCATACTCTTCCCTAACACAGAGGAGAACCAAGCCATGGCTTGCGACCAATCTAGGGGACTAGTGAAGCAATTCCTGTTGCAGTGGATATGGAATATGGCTCAAAGATTATGTTCATCTGCAAAACCCTTAGAATCTGACACCTCTGACACCTCTGACACCTCTGACACCTCTGACACCTCTGACACCTCTGACGCTTCTCATGCCTCTGACATGATGGCTCGAGCAGCCTTGTCTCGGTTCGCATTACTTTCTCGCACAAAATTAACCGCGATTGAGACGGAGGACTGCGTTGTGGCAATTCGAAATGGCATGGAAACTGTCCAAGGTCGAGACGCAGGAAGGATCTCCTAGTGAGCCGCTCCTGGTTGAGAATGAAAGCATACAGTCCTCTCCGAGACGAAATAACGTGAGGAATGGGGCCCATATAGCCATATTGGTGGCAGTGAGCATTGTATCCTTCAGTATAGGATACTGGATACATGCAGCACCGCCTTGGGAAACCCGCGACGCATGTCGGCATCGTCGCCCGTCTGATATAGAATGGAGTATGTATTCTCGGATGCCAGGCAAATTTTGAGGCAGTCCTATACAGATGTTTGCTAACATAAACAGCATCTAAGCCTGCTGTAATCCCTTGGTCCCCATTGCGGTTGAATGGAGCACTGTACGCACAGAATAAGTTTCGTGGAGAGCCCAGTGCTCAGTTGGACAGCGAGTGGGATCGGTTTACAACAAATGGTGAGCCCTCCCCAAAACGACGTGAAAAGCACTTAAAAGTCTCCGCCAATGACAGAGTGAATATAGCTTGGATGGTAGAGACGGCAGTGGTACTGAATATCTCAATGGACGAAGTTCGCCAGTCGTCGAACGATGACTCCGTCGAAACACTCGTTCGGTTAGACCACGAGAATGGGGAAGGTTATATGGGTTCGCTGGAGCTATTTCACCAACTTCATTGTCTAGTAAGTTAGCATAAGTACATGATAGCTGCAGCTCCGAATTAACGGCTCTAGAATATTCTTCGGAAGTGGACTTATCTGGACTACTATCAACATACAGATCCTTTTTTCATGAGTACATCGAGCCACAGACGTGAACATACAGGTTAGTAGAAACTCACGAAATTCCATTCCTCCCCCCTGTCTCCTATCATTCTGTCTCTGATTACTCAGTAGACCACTGTATCGACATTATCCGGCAGGTTTTGATGTGCAATGGTGACATGGGCTTAATCATGTTTCATTGGGTCCAAGGAATGGCGGTCCCAACTCCGGACTTCAGCACCATGGTGAGTCAACTCGCTAACTTATGTTTACATTGGTTCTAAGTTTCCAGCATTCTTGTCGCGACCCTGAGGCCATACTGCAATGGGCCTTTGAGAGACAAGCTCCTATAAACCATCCGATCGAGCGAATTCCAGGACAGCAAAATCTGAGTTCTTTGCCTTAAATACCCGCGATTTCCCGCCCATGTTTAAATCCATCTACTTTTCCGCGGCTGTGTTCTCATTTATAATTAAAATTAAAATCAATTCCATGGATCGTGCAGTGTCATATAAAGTCTTGCGCCTTGTTCCAATGAATCCACAATTCGTCGCCTTGCTTGTTTACTGCGTTCTATTGTATCACGGTCCGCACCTCAACGTCATCAATTTTGTTGACTACTAACTCTTGAATACCGGCATTATGCCATGGTGTTTATGTTTCACTATATGTGGCGATGGCTAGCAATCTGTAAATCTTTTATGTGTTATGCCATCTCTTCCTATGATTGCCGCCTGGAAAGCTTATAAGATTTATGGCTGAACCAAGAAATGTATGAGATTATGCCCGTACTGTACGCTTACAACCCTGGCTGTGTGTACATTGGTCTTCGCAGATTTGGAGGCAGTACCTTTCAATATGCCAGGGCGTATCTTGCGCGAGAGAAAGTATGAATTATTACGAACAGCAAACAAATACGCAGCTAAGCATGCCATTTCTTAAATATGCAAACTACGACCCGGGTAATATATAGGTCCTTATGCGCTTCTTTTATTGTTGTCCTTTCATGACGCGAACATCGCCAGTATAATCAGTTTCTTTTTGCCAGTCAACAATGTCATTCGATTCGAGTGAGATGGGAGAATACAAAATAATCACAAGTGGGCACATATGCTCACCGGATCAGCTCTGGCCGCCAGATGACGGTCCCAAATAGGTGTCATCAAGGTCATGACAAGTAGCTGTCATAGTACTATGTCGCTTAGTGTGAACCCTGAATCGTGATGACATTATTGCTGACATTGTCATCCCTACTACTGTCTGTCAGCAATGGGAATGACACCATTGTTCCATGGCAAGATATATGTAACTTGGGCAAGGCACAGAAAGATAACACCAAGCGAAGGAAATTTGCTATTAGTAGCTGCACTCGATACTATATCCACCCCCTCGATAGCCAAATCCTCACTCCAATCCGAGATCATTGAATTCCCTGAGCCTCCAAAATGAAAGCCGTGTCTCTGGGTGTTATTCTTGTGACTGCGGCGGTGCAGATGGCCTCTGCTCTCCCTGCCCCCGCCTCCCAAAACGTGATGGATTCCTTTCCTACTGACCCATTTGGGCTGTTTTCTTCAAGATGAGATACTGACTTACAACAGGCTCGCGAAGAGAACACCAAGGACTTCCCCGTGCAGTATTGGGACAAGAGGGAGGAAGCCACCAAGGACTTCCCCGTGCAGTACTGGGATAAGAGGGAGGAAGCTACCAAGGACTTCCCTGTGCAGTACTGGGACAAGCGCGAGGAAGCCACCAAGGACTTTCCCGTGCAGTATTGGGATAAGAGGGAGGAAGCTACCAAGGACTTTCCTGTGCAGTATTGGGATAAGAGGGAGGAAGCCACCCAGGACTTCCCCGTGCAGTACTGGGACAAGAGGTAGGAGGCCAAATACTAATTTCCTCGCCGTTCCCTTCTGGACACAAGGTGAATATCGAGGTGGTTGTATTCAAACAGCCTGCAGGTTGTGATGCATTTGCTATTCTAATTAGCAACTGTGTACCTACTTAAGAGAGATCGAAGATGAGTTTATTGCCCTAAAAGTCTTTGTATACAGTTTAGCCGACCTTGCCTCTAGTGGTGCTTGTAGAGTAGTGCACCTAAACCCCCCTCCATTACATGTACATGACAAAGGTAGGTAGTGAAGGGCCGGTATATCAACTTTTATTATGAGGGGAAGCGTCGAATATCCTGCTACGATTCAACGAGGTCACTTTTATTTGAACAGGGAGGACGGCATTTTGGTTCGATATGCCTAGACTAAACTTATAGCGATTCACCTGTTGCATACTTTCCATGATCTCTCCGAAGCCTATATTGTATCATTTGCACCAGTAGTAGTTACATAGGATCCTTCTAAGACAGCCTTACCACTGGATGGGTGTTTCTACAAACTACCTGCCACTTACTGGAGGGTTACCACTTTACTAAAGTACAGAATTGTTATATCGAGGAGCTCAGTGCCATGCATTTATCTAGCAAGGTAGCTACTGGCACATTTTGGCCGTTACAGGCACATCCGCTCGAACAATCTCCTAACGGTTAAAAAGTCAAGGAAATTTTGGTTTCCTTCTTTAACCCCTACCGATGTCTGTGATGGTCATGCTCTGATTGGTTGTACGCCTGCGTTTGTCCATAAGATTCCCACCGAGCCATCTAACTCATTAACTGATCCCAATCCTGGCATTCGTGCTCTGTGCCGAACCCTGTCACTCCACCCTCGGGAGTCAATGTCTCCATAGTCAGGTCCGGACGGCACATGAGCGATTGTCGGAGAAGATCGGTACAGTGGCTGAAATGGCGAGGTGCAATCATGTCATCCATGCTCTGTTCCAGGAGGGTCTCATCGGGAGAAGTGGCGATCGAGATCAGTAACCAATATGCCTGTCGCATTGCATTCTAGGACGAAGACTTAGCAGGCTGGGCCATCCTGGAGTGTAGGGGGAGCATATTATTACCAAGCAATGCAATTGATGGAATATCGAGATGGCCGCTCGCTCCGGGGAAATAACGGGATGGCGAAAGAATCCTGCCTGGACAGGAAACAACTCACCCCACGCCTGATCCGTCAGTGGTGAAGGTCCATCCGCAAACGACGCATTGTATTCAAAAACTTGTCGCTGGGTATCCACTGTTTATCGTATGCATGAGCAAGAATACATTGGAGGGAGAAAAGAGAAGGTCAAAAGGAAAAGAGAGGAGATTGGGGTGGGGTAGCCGCACAAGGAATGATGACGGGTCTTCCGTGTTTATTAGTCAAGTATCCCGCGTAAAATGCACACAGCCCGTATACCATGAGAATCAAGCACAATACCAGTTCATAGGTGAATATTACGAGGCCAGTATAAACCTCCCCTAGCCAGCCACTTTGGATGAGGCACGGGCGATGGCGTGTCGCTCAGGCGTTGGAAGCTTCGAGCGGATTCGAATTTCGGCCACATCATCAGTTATGAATTGCTCAGTCGCTCTGTCAGTTGATAAAATTAAAACCATTTAGTGGTGTATATTATCGTACTCACTGGGGAGTATTTGTTGGACTACAGGAATTGTGGGTGATCAGATCCACGGTCTGACAGGTGAGATCTGACAAGCTGACACGCGTCAGATAGTGTCAGATACGGTCTAGGGTAAAAGAATAACAATCATCGAGCTCCATATCGCTCTGCTATCGACTCCAGACGCAAAGCCTACAATGCAAGCGAGCCGTGGGTCGTACAAGCCGCTGGTTGACGAAGCTCTTCGAGTTTCGGGAAATGCTAGCCCGAGAATATTGTCAAAGCAGTCATGGATGATGCATGGAACACTGCTCCTGTTCTCTCTTTCCCTCTTCACACTCAGTCTCGTTATTGCCCCTGCTCCAAGCCCATGTACTGAGATGGCATGGTGTATGTAAGTCTGGCCCTACTTTGATACTCGCCAGGATTGATGCTCATATATAGGTTGACATGCCACAGCACCGGTAGTTGACGCAGTAGAAGTGAAACCAACTCGATACAATGTCACCTTTGGGATTCCGAGTAGATACCCATCTCGGTTCGTTGATACACCAGGATCAGATGCCGTGGATGCCGAATGGGAACTGTTTACTAAAAATCGTGAGTAGTTTGACTCTGGTAACCCGCAATCTAAGCGGACTTGGACTGATGTTGGTCAAGCTTCGCTCGACGGCCGTCAGGGAACGCTTGCCGTTGACCGTGATACAGCCAAAAGGCTTCCACTTGCGTCGAACCCCGAATGGCTTAATTCACTTATTCCAGTCGGGGATGGTGATCAGGGGCAGGTTAAATATATGGCCACTTTGGAGCTGTTTCATCATCTACACTGCTTGGTAAGCCTGTATTCTATAGAACTAGATCACTTGCGGCCTGACTGATATGTCCATATCTAATAGAATATGTTACGCAAAGCCTCACATTCCAACTACTACAGCGAAGCCGACTTGAACAACCAAATGCTGAGAGGACATCTAGGTGAGCGGCAGCCCGCGCCAACATCACTTTGATAAACGAGCTATCTAATTTGATATTGTGGGACAAGATCACTGCACGGAGACATTACGCGAGGTTCTAATGTGCAATGCTGGGGTTGGACTAATCATGTTTCACTGGGTTGAGGGCCTCAATGACCCGTATCCGGACTATAACACATATCACCAGTGCAGAGACTATGACGCTGTCTTGGACTGGGCACTTAAAAACACGGTTCCCTTGAGATCACCCGTGTCGAGGAAGCCGGAAGATTACGCCACAAATGAGCCTCTTTTCTGAACTATCATGTTAGAACACTTAGTACTCTGTCTGTCTGTGTGTGTGTGTGTGTGTGTGTGTGTGTGTGTTTTCCAGACAAGGACAGAATCAAACCAGGCAGTCGTGTTCATGAGGTAGCTTCAATAGCGAATTAGAGTAATCAAGCTGTGTCTGTCGGGGTGTTTTGGGTCATGCCACTATTGCTTATCTCCAGAAGTTACTTATCTGACAACGGGCCTAAAATCTGACAGGCATCAACTAAGCACAGAATGAAGTATATCAGCTAAAGGCCTCACCCAGGTCTAGTTTTCTCCATCCGATCATCTGTGTCTTCAATGAATCATTCATGATGACTGCATCCGAGCTCAAGCAAAGGTTAGCCGCAGCTGCCCCAACCGAAAGCAGCCTTGAGCAGCTTCAACATCAATATGCTGGATACTGTCACGCACTCACGCCACACTTGACCGATGCAAAGAAAACTCCAGTGACCCTCTATGAGTTGCTTGCAGCGAAACCCGATACGTCCGAGTTTATCCGACTGGTGGACCGGGTCCCTCATATCAAACAATTATTGCAGAACCAAGACTATTCATCCACTATCTGGGCCCCAAGCAACACTGCGCTTCAGCAACTGAACAATGAGCTATCTGATGAAGATGTTCTGGCTCTCATTCAAAGACACATCTCGCCATCATTTCTTCCAATATATTTCCTTCTAACAGCCCCAACAATCGACACACTATTCTATCCTGACCGATTGAATGGCGTCCAGAGGATAACAGTCCGTCCTTCACTCAACGGCCTTCGCGTGAACTCCCATGCAACCGTAATCGAACAGGATCATCTGATGGCAAACGGTATCGTCCATGTAATCGACCAGGTTCTCCCACCGCGACCAACCATTGCAGCTTTTCTCGCTGCTCTGCCGTCATCCGAATTTGACCTGTTCCAGTCTGCAGTGAAGCAGTCTGAAGCTATTCAGAATCTTCTCCAGGATGAGTCTCGTCGCGGCGGAACCGTGTTCATCCCCACCAACGAAGCTTTCCGCAAGCTGCCCGAGGATGTCCTGACATACCTTTTTAGCGATGAAGGGGCTGCATCTCTTCAGGCTCTGTTGAGATATCATGTCATTGCGAATCAATCATTGTACTCGAACCGTCTCTACGACCAGGACTCTGCGCCAGAGCATTTCATACAGACGCCAGAAGCTACACCCGATCATACGATTCCTACGCCTGAGAATCAGGGGGATCGCTTGTGGCGTGTGCTCAAGGGAGTTCGTCGCTTTCCCTTGCCTACGTGCTTGGATGGGCAACATCTAACGGTTGCTGTGACCCGATGTGGGGGCTTGATTTCAATGATGGTCAATGGAATTGCAAATGTGACTATACAGGATGGCTTGGCCAGTGACGGAGTGTGTCATGTTGTGGACTCAGTTTTGTTTCCGCCTTTACAGGATGAGGATGCAGAAGTCCAGCCAGTACTTTCTGTTGAAGATGTGAAGTCGAGACTGGCATAGTTTGGCTTTCCATGGCAGCTGCGTCTGATATTTTTATAAATGTGACTTTGTCCTGAGTGTGCCCTAGGTTGTTTCAATCGCATTGATACTTATAACTCTCGAACGCTTACTGCCTTTTTCCTACGTTCATCTAAAGTGAATGGCTCGTTTATATACTGTGCGTGCCGCTAGTATTTTCTTTGGCAATTGCTACATAATATATCCAGGTCTACAGTCCTCCATCTTGAATGTCTATTCCATAATACTACACGAACCCTGATCTATATTTCCACGTCATTCCACCAAGCAAAGCACCCTCTAATCCCATCACTCCGCAACCTCAACAATCAACTTAGTACAACTCACCCCTCGACTCAACTCATCCAACCCATCATTAACAGCCTGCAACCCCCTCCCAACAACCCTCAGCTCCGGACTCGGCCTGATATTCCCATTAGCCAGATTCTCCCTCGCCCACGTCCCCATCCAATACCGAAACTGATCCAACCTCTTCTCCTCATCATCCATCGCCGGCATCACAAAGATAACTTTCACCCCATCCAGCACCTCCACATCAGAAGGAACAACCGGCGCGGACGCAATCTTCGCCATCACATTCTCATCCCCTTCAACATCCCCCACAAAAGCCCCCACAAAAGCCCCCAGCACAGCCTGACACATCCGCACATCCCCTACCGCAAGAAAACAATACCGAATCACACAATCAGCCTCTCTAGCATTCTTAACAATTTCATCCACAACATTCGGGTCCCTATGATCAAATACACGATCCGCACCCAACGACCGCACATACTCATGATTCGCCGCCCCAGCAGTAGCATACACAGCAGCAATCGAAGACCCAGGCTGATCCCGAAGCACTCGGGCAACTTGCACACCCATTGAACCAACGCTAGAGGATGCGCCCCAGACCAACAGTACCTCCCTCTTCTTCCCAGTCTGACCATTAATGCCATCATTGGTCTGCGTGTCACACACCAGCTGCAAACCGATACTCTCCCACGCATTAAGCGCTACCTGTATAGTAACAGGCAACATAGCCGCCTCATTCCACGAGATCATCACCCTTTCATCCGGAAGCGGCACAACATGCTGCCACGGAACAAGACACTTTTCTTGAAAAGCGCCATAGTCCGGATCGCAGGCCTTCCAGACGGAGGCGGAGTAGGCGGCGATGCGGGTGATTCCTGGATGGAAATGTTTGGGGACGTTGGTGCCGACTTCCAGGACTAGACCTGATAGATCGAAGCCAATGACGGTAGGGTAAGTAGGGATGAAGAGGCCTGTCTCGCGCATGATGGCGTCTGCTGGGTTGAGGGCGATGGATTTGACGGCGATGAGGAGGTCGTTGGGGCCTGGGGTGGGGGTTGGGCGGGTGGTTAGGGTGAGGGTGGAGGATTTGGAGGGGAGGAGGGCGGCGAGGTGGGTGGGCATTTTCTTTCTTTGTAGTTGTAGTAGTGTATGACTGGTTTGGTGGTGAAGTTTGAAGCCTTTAAAGGGGTAGAAGTTGTAGTGTGTATGGTATAGATGGCAGGTTTCTTGGTGTCTCGAACGGATTCCAAGTTGTATGTCTGTGAAGGAGTTAGAAATATAATTACTGGGTGAAACCCTGAGCTACACTCCCCTTTTATATCTGAAAATATGTATCATGGCATGTCAATCGTCTCTAGATGTATACTACTATTGTTGATCCTGTGGAGGCAAGCGGCAGCCAATCAGCGATGTCTGCATCCGAGTGCGGGTTTAGCGTTGAGATGCAAGATCCGAGACACGGTTAGCTCATGACTAAATGCAGGTATTGGGGGCCATGACTACCACTCGTCCCAAATCCTTCCAGCATCCAATTCCCTTCAATTACAATGACATCGACTGACTCCCGAGAAGCACGGGAAGGCCCAGGAAAGACACGGCGAAGATCACGATTCGGGTGCCGCAATTGCAAGCTGCGGAAACTGAAGGTGGGTGCCCCTAGCACCTCGTAGATAAACCATCCCTACTGATCCATATCATGTAGTGCGACGAAAGCAAACCACAATGCAAGCGTTGTAGTTCATTCGGGGTAGTTTGCAACTTCCTAACATCTACCACTCCCGACCTCCACCCCATTCCCGCTGACTCGCGACGGTCATGGACGGTTCGAGGTACAGCATCAGCAGCGGGACTGCAGCCTCCTCTCAGCAATGCCATCTGGACCTCAGACGCATCGACCTTGTTTCAACTAAACACCAGATGCCAAGACTTCATCACCCGGTATCTAGGGCGCAGCCTCATCACCCCCAATGATCCAAACATGAGACAAGTAAATCGCAAGCTCCTTGAACTAGCCTTCACCGTAAGTCGACCCATCCATCACAAGTCCAGTTTAAGATACTAATGACCAAATCCTAGCATCCATACCTAATGCACGCCTCACTAGCAGTATCACTCACCTACGACCGCCACCTAAACAGCCCCTCCGACAGCCACCGCACTCTAGAAGAATGCTACCACTGGTCGCAAAGCACCATCCTCTTCAATAAGAAGCTTCGCGAATCCATAGAACCCAACGACAGAGATCCCATATGGGGCACAGCAGCCGCGCTAGTAATTCTGACCTTTTCATCCCCAAACGCACGCAGCCCAGAAGAATCATGGCCTCTGAACCCCTCCCCTTCCTCCTATCTGGACTGGGTGCATATGAACAAAGGGAAAATGTCCTTGTGGAATATAGTCAATCCGTTGCGCTCGGATAGTATCTTTCATGTTATGGCGGGGACGTTTGCCTATGTGCAATCGCCATTGCCACAGGGAGGTGTAGAGGGTATACCTCCTGCTTTAGCGGCGCTGTGTGGTATCACGGATGATTCTACGGCGGAAACGAATCCGTATTTCCATGCTGCTCATGCGGTAGCGCAGATCTTGGAGGTTGAGGATAGTGAGGTGACGATGGGTCCGGTGCAGATGTTTATGCGGTGTATTCAGGGTGGGTTTGAGGGGTTGTTGAGAGAGAGGGATCCTGTTGCGTTGGTGTTGCTGTACCTGTGGTATAGAAAAGCTGGACGTTGTATTTGGTGGATTGGGCTTAGGGCGAGGGTGGAGTGTCCTGCTATTTGGATGTATTTGCGGCGGTATCATGGGGGAGATGAGGCTGTGATGGAGTTGCTTCCAGAGGGTGGAAAGCTCCTTGTGGACTAGATCTGTACTAAAGGAGGATTGTACATGTTAGGTCTTACAGGCAAAATAAACACAGATTCAAACAACCCATAATCTCTTTCATATTGTCATACTAGCCATTCCACACCCTCTATATCAACTAACCCACCAACAACACAACCTCACTCAGTCATTCATCTCATCCCCCAACCTCCCTCCCCTCCCACCCTCCAAATCCCTACAAAGATACCAATACTCCAACCAGAACTCCCGCGCAGCACTATAATCCGGCAAATACCATCTCAACAACATCTTCCACTCCCTATCCTCCTCACCATCAGGAACCGAAGTGGCGACATATTCCCACCAAACAGGAAAATACCCAGCCGTCTCCCAACCAATAATCCCAGTAACTTCACCATCCTCCACCATAATATTCCCAATCGTCAGATCCCCATGCGTAAACGTATACGGCATAGCAGCCGGCATGCGCTGTCGCAGCCGTACCCTCGCAGCCTCTGGAATCCTCTCATCCAACCCACGCTCCATCTCAGCCCAAAGCTCATCATCAGATGCAAAGGGGCCGCGGGGAATCTCAGTAATCTCACCAGAGGAGCTACTAGAATCATTCTTGAACAGATACTTAGAGAAAACTGGACGGCCACCGAGACATTGGATTTTATCGGACTGGAGAGATCGGAGTTGGTGGAGATAGAAGTCCACTTGCTTTGCTATGGTTTCTTTTTCGTTGGGGTTAAGTTCTGACCAGACGTTGCTTAAGGGTTGGCCGGGCATGCGTCGCATTAAGGTGAGGGTGTGTTTATCTTCTTCACCCTCCTTCACCCTCCTCCCAGGATTCGATGATAGTGGGGACGGGGATACAGGTCCGGTCTTGCACGAAGTGGATGTTTGGGACCTCGGAGGTTGGATGGTTGGGACAGCGGTCTTTCAGGATTACCTTTGAGCCGAGGGACCAGATGCCTCGGTCGCCTGATTCGTAGAAGGGTTTGAGGTGGCTTTTGTAGTTGCAGTGGTTTTGGCGTTCGGGGGTCCAGCTGCATGCTGTGCAGGGGGTGGGGGTGGAGCTCATGGTGGGTGGGTGGGTGATGGTAAACAATAACAGTTTGATCAGAGTTAGTATGAAAATCTCGATTCGAGAACCTACGTGCCTGTCTCTCTGTTCTGTGGGAATTTATTGATCTTAAATAGATCATGTTCAAGCTTGTGGGACTAATAGTTCGCCTTCTCGCTTCAATTACTAGCCAGTTCTTGTATGGGAGAGAATGGAATAGATCGGTGACTATGGAGTCCCGAACCTTTGGTTCATGTGGCTGCATTGAGGGAATCCGGGAATAACCTTAAATAGAAGAAGAAATGATTGTTAGGATTGAAGCTATGTCGTATCAGTAGTTGAGCAGTGTCTGATTCGAGCAGTATTAACCTTAGACGTGTCCCATTGATGGATATAGCCGCATATGAAGACATTAGCGCAGATATATCAATTCACAATGATACAATGATAACCTCGCACGCTACATATCTTACTCTGATTATTGGTCCTGCGAAATTTACACAACCATACTGCATTCGTGAAATGTGGACTTCACCGGATTGGTATAGCTCCAGGATTGTTCTCTGGGCATTTGTTTGTATTAAAGGCGATATAAAGTTTGAAGTCGAGATGTATCAGTGTCTTTCCCAGGTAGGGGTTGCGAAGCTATGATAGGTGGGTTTAGTTGTGATGGTAATGGCGGATGAGGGAATATGGCACTAGTAAAGAGCAGTGCATTTAGATGACAATGAATGCTAGCGCCTAGTCTATTAGTTATTCCCTGATAAGAAACACACTACTAATAACGGAAATTAACTGGGGAAACCTACAGCCTTTTTTTTTTATTCCCACTGAACCCCCTGAGTAGTAGAATCCCAATTCAACGAACATCTAGCCCGAGCACTTTACCTACTGCCCAGCAACACTGTCTCTACACCCATAACCCACAAAATCATCAACAATAGTATCCAAAATGACCACCTTTTCAACCTCCCCCTTCCACCTCCGCCCCGCCAAACCCACTCCCACCGACCACGCCTTCATCCTGTCCGCCTTCGACTCCTCCCTCCCCTTCCTGGCCTCCATCGGCAGTCTCGACCAATGGGGCAAGACCCCTTTCTCCCAGCGAGGGGACTTCGCCGAAGCAACCCTAAAAGAACTGAATTACTCCGAAGAGTTCCGCCTCACAGGGACTAGCGGCCTGGATAGTAATCTCCGTATGTTCATCGCCGAGCGAGAATTATACCAGCAGCAGCAGCACGATGATGGACAGCTTCAAGCTGAGTTCGTACGAGTGACACCCGACGGACGACGCTTCTTACCCGTTGGAGTTGCGTACGTGCGCGAAAACTGGGTGCCGAATTATGTGAAGACGCAGACTCATCTTCCGATACCGGATGTTAACCATGGTGGTGGAGGATTTCTTTACCTCGAGGTTATGGTGACGGATAATCGGGAGGATCGGAGGGAGCTGTCTCGCGGGGCCGGAGCGGCGCTTATCAGGGGGATTCGGGAGTATGGAGAGGCCAGAGGGATGAGGGCGTTGTGGGTGGATGGGTGGGCGGGGAATGAGAGGAAATTGATCAGGTTTGTTTCTAGTACTCCCATGTTGTCTTCTTTAATGTGGGTATTGACATCTCTGTGGTAGGTACTATGAGCAGCAAGGGTTCCGGGCTGTCGGTGAGTGGAGTCATATGAGGACGAACAATGTGCCGTGGCTGGGAACGTTGATGTGCATGGAGATCTAGCTGTAGTTAAGATAGTTGCCTCTCTTCGTTAAGCTAACCATAATATCTTATCTGAACCAATGATTACAATCAGTATTCAGCATTTATTGTCTTGTTAACCCCGCACAGCTGCATCTGGTTCACTCCCCGCCTCGCATCCACGGTCGGAAAGCTTGCAGGTCATGCGATGATGACCACGGATACTATCTACTTGTCTTTCAATGCGAGCCAACTGCAAGAGACGTGGCCCAAGCTTCCAGGCCAGCTTAGCACCGCCTTGCCCCATTAGGGCAATGTTTCCATGGCCCAAGAAGCGTTACTGCATGAATCCGGGTGGAGACGGTTCCCTGGCCCGATCCCCGCCTTCCATCCGATCTGCTTGATGGTCTTATCATTCCTGCACCTCGACGGTTGTGTTGGCCTGTTAGAGTATCCATCATCCATGATCGGCTCGGCCACGGAATTGTTGCCGTTGCTGGTCCGGCCAGTCTGGCCGGCCACTGCCCTCACCAGCTGTCAATAATAGCTGGACCTTCCGCCAGGGACTGCTCATAATATGTATGACAGATTATCTGTTCAACTTCAACGAATGAACATCCAATTTACCAAAAGATAGAAGATGGCAGCAACACAACGTGTGGTCATCATAGGAGCAGGAATTGTGGGCGCCAATCTCGCCGATGAATTGGTCTCGCGCGGATGGCAGGATATCACCGTCATCGAGCAGGGCCCGTTGAACCTGCCGGGTGGCTCAACATCCCACGCTCCCGGGCTGGTGTTCCAGACCAATGGTTCTAAGACGATGACTCGTCTTGCGCAATATACGGTCGACAAGCTGCGATCGCTAAATGATGAGAATGGCATGCCGTGCTTCAATTCCATAGGAGGTCTCGAGGTAGCTACGACACCGGCCCGAGTCGAAGAGCTGAAGCGCAAGTACGGCTATGCGAAGTCCTGGGGTGTTGAAGCGCGTCTTCTGACAAAGGAAGAGTGTTTGGAGAAGTATCCCCTGCTTAACAAGGATCTCGTACTCGCTGGTCTTCACACTCCGACCGATGGTCTCGCGTTAGCTGCCCGCGCAACCCAGCTGCTCATCGCCCGGACCCAGCAGGCCGGGGTCCGCTACCGAGGCTCGACGCTTGTTACAGGCATTGAAAAGACAGGATCTCGTGTGACGGGCGTGAATACCTCCCATGGTGTAATTCCTGCTGATATCGTCATCTCCTGCGCCGGCTTTTGGGGCGTCGAAATCGGTGCTATGGCCGGGGTCTCCATCCCTCTCCTACCACTTGCCCACCAATATGCGAAGACAACCACAGTCCCCGCTCTAGCGAACCGCGACGTCAACAACCGTCCGAACGGAATGAACGCGAGTATGCCCATCTTGCGGCATCAGGATCAGGATCTATACTACCGGGAGCATGGAGACCAGGTGGGAATTGGATACTATGGACACCGTCCAATGCCGGTGGTGGCGGCGACTTTGGGTCAGACTCCGGAGCATGTGGACGAGAAGCATATGCCCTCGCGGCTCGAGTTCACGGCCCAAGACTTTGCACCCGCATGGACAGCCTCACAGGAGCTTCTGCCTGTCCTCCGTGATACGCAGTTGCAGGACGGATTCAACGGCATCTTCTCCTTCACCCCAGACGGAGGACCCCTCGTCGGACAAGCGTCAAGCCTCGACGGTTTCTACGTAGCAGAAGCCGTCTGGGTCACTCACTCCGCAGGAGTCGCGCGAAGCATGGCGGAGATGCTCACATACGGTGCATCTACCATCGACCTCACAGAGTGCGAGCTATCTCGCTTTGAGGAAGTACAGCTGAGCCAGGACTACGTCAATGAGACCTCACAACAGAACTTTGTCGAGATCTATGACATTCTCCATCCCCTACAACCGAGAGAGTCCCCCCGACAGCTCCGAGTGAGCCCCTTCTACGAGAAACAACGAGCACTCGGAGCCTTCTTCCTTGAACTCGGCGGCTGGGAACGCCCATTCTGGTACGAAGCCAACGCACAGCTCCTACACGCTCTCCCAGAACAATGGCAACCACCTCCCCGAGACACTTGGTCTTCGAGATACACCTCCCCCATCACCGCCGTGGAAGCATGGAAAACCCGCAACGCCGTCGCCATGTACGATTTAACCTCCTTCCACCGCGTACAAGTATCTGGACCCGGCGCAGCCACCCTCCTGCAGCGCCTAGCCACAAGTGACATCACCGCCCCTCCCGGCGCCATCACACACACACTCCTCCTGAACTCCCAGGGCAAGATCCGCAGCGACATCTTCGTCGCACGCCTGGAACCCAACCTCTTCCAAATCGGTGCCAACACTGCAACCGATGTCGCCTACCTATCCGTCGAAGCCCGTCGTCAAGGAAAACACACCCCAGCCCAATGGGTCCAGGTCTCCGACATCACCGGTAACACTTGCTGCATTGGTCTCTGGGGTCCTCGCTCAAGGGCCGTAATCCGCGCCGTATCCAACGACGACTTTTCCACCACCGCACTTCCCTACATGTCCGTCAAACGCGCCACTGTAGCCGGCATCCCCATAACCGCTCTCCGAAAATCCTACGTCGGCGAACTCGGGTGGGAAATTCAAACAAGCGCCGAATACGGCTCCCGTCTGTGGGATATACTCTGGCAAGCTGGTAAACCACACGGTCTTGTCGCCGCAGGCCGTAGCGCTATGAACGCCTTGCGGCTGGAGAAAGGAATTCGGACATATGGAGTAGACATGACGACGGAGCATGATCCGCTCGAAGCGGGAGTTGCGCATCTTGTTGATCTTAACAAGGAGGAGGAGTTTGTGGGCAAGGCTGCGCTTCAGAGTGCGGCGCAGCGGAAACAGCCTCCGCTGAGGCGTCTACGGTGCTTGACTGTGGATGATGGTCATTCTATGGTTATGGGCAAGGAACCTGTCCATTTTGAGGGCAGGCCCGTGGGGTATATTACTACTGCGGTATTTAGCTATACGACGAAGAAGCCCGCTGCGTATGCATGGCTGCCCGGGAGGGTTCGCGAGGCGGATGCAGTTGTGATTGAGTATTTTGGGAGACAGATTAAGGCGACGGTGTCGGCTGATCCGTTGGTAGATCCCAGGGGGAGTAGGTTGCATCGGGAGGATACGGGTGAAGATGGGTTTGAGACGCCGCTGAAGAACCGTCTGTAGAGGGTATTGATGAGCTACATTTGGCGTAACGGGATAATGACGAATGAAGTAAATGAAGATATCAAGGCTTGAATTATCATCTGTATATAATTTGTTCTCTTGCAGTAGATCAAACAACCACTGGATTCTCTCCGAAATATCGTCGTCGTTCTTCTGAGGTTCATGATAAACAAGCTACAGCACCCCTCCCTCAACTTTAGACAACCCTCACCAATTCCTCTACAGCGCCAACTCTCTCTGTGACACGATATCTAAATGGGGCACAAAAATTGTGTAACTTCAACTGCGTTCTCATTCTTCACTTCCCCCTTTCCCCGGATTACCCAATGACCTTTCACCCGTCAAACACCCTTTTCCTAGGTATAGGTAGCCCTATTTGTTGGATGCAGGTATGATAAAAAAATTTTTGCTTATGCCCACCAGACGTCCGATAGTCCGGAGCACAACCTGTCTTGGAACAACACCCGCCTGGATATGACAGATATCTACGCAGTAGGATTGATGTATAGTATTTGGAGTTTCGGATCTCAATGGTTGCTATCACAAAACAAGAACAGGCTAACACCTCAGCTACGCCACAAGCGTATGCCTCAGTTGATATCCTCATTGACTGAGTCATTTGATAGTATCAAAAGTCAGCCAGCCATCGGCTCTCGGCTCTGAAGTGGAATGTGGGGTCTTATCCTCATAAATGTACATGCTACTGTCAAGTGCCAACTCCTCCTTGCTGATGCCCGCGGGACAATAGGGCTGATGATCACAACCAAGCATGGCATATAATCTCAATTTGATCACTGCGGGTGTCGGCCTTGTCCGTTCTTTTTTACTATTCTCGGACTGATACGCTCTTCTGTCTGTGATGATAAAGGATAGGTTTCAGAATGACATCCATTCCTGAGAGTTCTACAATACTCAAAGTAGACACATGAGACTAAGTAGAAACTAAACGAGCGGAACCCGCTTCTGGCCGGCCGAGCTTAAACTCCACACCTACTTAGTACATGTAGAGAACTCCATACAACGGCCAAAGCTATCATTTTTTCCCCCTTGGACAAACCGGCTACCCATCTGTTAGCGCAAGAGCCTCTTAGGATACTCGATATCTAGCAACAGAACTGGTGTTTCCCCAAGTCTTATTAGCACACTGCAAGTGCTCAAAAGAAAAGAAAGTCTGATCTTGCAGCTGGTAGAAAAAGACTTACCGCCCATTCACCATTGACGTAACACCCAATAAAACAGGGAGTCGTGTTGCAGCATATTTCGGCACCATCGGCGACTTCCTCGCCATTGGCAACATCAATACTGTCGGCAACGTTGGCGTTGTTGATGCTGTCCGCGACCTTGGCCCCGTTGGCGACGTTCGCGACATCGGCCACATCTGCAACGGATTCCTCTCTCTGCTTGACGACACCTGCCATGCCGAGTCCGGCGAGGAGGGGTACAAAGATCATGGAAGGCTTCATATTGTGGGTGGAGTAGTGTTCACGGGGAGATAAACAAGAAAAAGCGACGGTTTTTGGAGGTTGATGGATGGATTGTTAAGAGGATGTGATTGCTTTGGTTTATGCTGGTGAGGTCCCGGGTGATGTGGACTCTTTTATACCTGATGGTGAGGCTAGGGTTCCTCGCACAATAATAATGAAGATTAAGAAGAATCTAAGTCTCTTCGAGCCCTTCCTTTTGCTACGCAAGGAATGGTATTGACCGCAAGATTAGTGTAACAGGTCTTTCTCTCTTTCTCAGCTGAGCCACAGGATAGTGGTGAGATACGACCGCGGGCAGTTATTCAAACAAGGTAGTCAACGTACTACTTTCATTCAAAGTGATGCATGTCCCTGGAGAGGTAACCCATAATGTGACTATATGCTAGAAGCGGTAAGTAATAACTGTCAGTAGTGGTGACACGACATGCCATTGCAATTGATACTCTGTGACTTGTTTATCAAAGGCAGATGATTGGGTATTGGTGTCTTTTGCTATTCTCATGATGGGCTCTCATCGTTGAAGTTACCCTACTTGTACCACACTAGTAGCTTTTTGTTCGGTATAAATAATCTGCTCCTCATTACTTAGGTATCGTCTGCCACTAGGTGCAAGAAACTGAATCATATCCCTTATGTTATAAATTATTGATTACTGCTGCCTGCCTATCCCGCATCATCAACGAAGAGTATACCGTTCGATCTTCAGCGCGTTCTGCCTCCCCATAATCCCCGCGGAGACTTTCCCCGCCTTATGCAAGGCTTGCGCAAGTCATAATTTTATTTTGGTAACAAAATTGATTGTAGTAAAACCTACACTATTGGCTACTGATACTTAGGAGTTATGATGCACCCCGCATGACGCATGATGTGGGGGAAGGGTTTCCTATCCTGTTGTGTCCAGCCATAGTGACGGTTTACGGGGAGTATTGCAGAAAAAATGCAGCTGTGATCTTGCAACTTCCTTCCTCGGCTTTCCTCAATCTACCACATCCTTAGTTATCGAATGGATTGCTCTCCTGCTCTTCTTTGCGATCGTGATCAGCACGCAGAGTAAGCGCAAGGAGAAGAACTGCAAGTTCAGTCATATGTGACTCTTTGAGAGTATTGAATGGACCAAATTCATGAATCGTCAGGAATGATCGAGGACGTCCTGGATCTTGAAATCCATGCTCAATGTATCTGATGTACTCATCGTCATACTCGGCAAAGCTGAGCCAGATCTGATGTCTATCTTGTGAGATGTGAAATCGACTGATAATCCGAGTTAGTTTGATAACACGATACAACATTGTCAGTAATGGCCTGCTTACCGGAACGGGAGCTTCCCAGGTGTTTTGGAATAATTCTTAAGCCAAGCGACCATCTGTGCACCTTCCTGCATACAGATCTCAAGCCGGGAATTTTCCCGAAGTGCTGCTTTCACTTCGATCAAAGCACGCACCTCCCCATCAACTTTGCCTCGCAGATAACCGTCCGTCCTTGCCTCATACTCTGCATCGTTGAACTTAGCTTTAAGCGGCTTGCGGTGGATGGTCCAGGAGCTCTTAAGCGAAGGGAAATAATCCGTTAGAGCTTGGAAAAAGTTGACTAGAGCAACATTTACAATTTGCTCATCATCGACTGCGGGGTACATCTCGCGTAGGAGCTCCTCGGGCCCTAGAGAGCCTCCCGTAGAGACGGACGGTGGTTCCGGGAAGATATCTTCGTCTTCCTTGTTTCCTGGGGTTACGGGCGCTTTTGAAGTAGCGTCATCATTGAGGGTGAGCGTCTCAACAGAAGGCAGGTTCGATCTAGTCGGCGTTGCGTGCTCTTCGGGTGTGTGCTCTTCGCGTCTTTTGCGTGTGTTTTGGCGCGTGCGCTTAGAAACCGGGGAGAAGATGACATTGTTGGAGATTTCGTTGCTTTTGACCTTCGCTGCCTCGGCCTGTGAGTTCTTAACCAAGAAGAAGTTCCCTTCCTCAAGTTTACCCTTGAAGCTCTCGCGGTAGATGTTCCAGGAGGGATAAGACTGAAGCATGCCCTTAGCCTGGTTCATCCACGGTTCTAGGCCAAGCCGCTTGGGATCCAGCTTAGTCCTCTGTGATCTTTTGCGAAGGATACGCAGAAGCAGATACTGACGCAATTTGATTTTTGAAGCAGAGTCCAATTCTTCCGCGTGGATGAGTTTATTTAGGACACCATTCTTCTTCGCCAAATCAGCCCACTCAGCGGCTGTCGCGGGAACATCTCCATTTGGTTTATTCATGACTTCTAGTGACTACCACCGGGTAGTAGCCATGAGGTAATATTTTTGAGGTACCTGGCAAAAGCGCTAGACTAACAATAAACTTAAGGCGAAATATCCAGAAGTTGTAGAGGGGTGAGGGGAAGGAAGGCGCCTACGGGGGCCTGCTAGTCCATAGTTGCTATTTAAAGGGAAGCCACCAAGGCTGGCGACTTTCACTACTTGTGGTGTTGGCCAGTGAAAGTCTTACGCTGCAGCACTGGCAGGGGTCTTGTGAAGGTGGGAAGGAGACAGTGTATCATTTTGGAATACCCGCCAGTGAATGGTAATGGATTGGAGTGCATCACGAAGAGGGGAAGAAGTCCGTGCGTCTCTCTGAGGGTTGGAGTAGACTATAGTCTGGAACCGCCCATTGATATTGCGGGCGGTAAAAAAAGAGGGCTGGTTGCCCCGGGACCGCCCTTTATCTAATCAACATCCTCCGCCATATCGACCTACTCCTACTCCTCCCTTCCTTCCTCCAACTGCCTCCTTCTTCCTAGAGTTCCCCCACCACCTTACCTACTGTCCGTTCTCGATATTCTAGAAGATAATATCCTGCTAAAATGCTGGAAAGTAAAGAACACCAAGCTCGTCGAAATACTATCAAGGAGATCGCGCGTGCCATCTCCGAACGTCGCGAAAATCGATATCAGCACAAAGACGTGCATGACCTCCCCATTCAGATCCTCCCCATGCCCCTGTCCGCCGATGGAGAACCGTTATTCGAGTCTGAATTTTTCTGGCCATACAAGAAGCCCCTTCCGAATCCTGATGAGGAGATGGAGTTTTCGCCTTCCAGTCCGGAGGAAGCCACAGATCCGATGGACGAGGCACACATCCTAAGCTACTACTTCGGGCATTATATTACCAGTGCCATACGTCTTGGCAGTGATGACTGGTATCACAGTCCCAGACAGTACGATCAATTCCCATCCACAGGGCAGACCCAACGTATCTTGCGGCGAACAAATATCTAATTCGTCTCCAGGCCCATTGACTTTCCATGTTCCCTCTGCGAGCTTGATACTGAGAATCCCTTCGAATGGTGCGCGGGTGGTATAACTGGCATTCCGGGTGGGCCCCGAATGAAATGCTTATTACTCGAGAGCGTGGACGCGAACGATGATCAGATTACCCGTGGGGAGATCCTGTGTATGTGTCGTATCATGATTACTTGCCTCCGTTCCAAAAAGTATCGTGCCCATCAAGTCAGTCCGGTAAGTGTTATAATTCCTTTCTTTTGTCTCATCTCAATACCTGTGGCTAACTTGCCCAAAAGGTGCTACTCATTTCCTTCGTGGGTCCAAGACATGCTCGCATTCTTTTGGGCCATCATGATGGCACCAACCTGGTGATCCGTCAATCTAAACGCTTTGCATTCTGGGAACAGAACATCCCCGAGATGAAGATTCTGCTGCGATGGTGGTGCTCGTCTGCGGTTGGGGATACTATCAAGGGGTAAGAGAGGCTCAGTACTCCCCTAATCCTGCCTCTCGTTGAACCAGTTATCTTTGTCGTATTTGCGTTCATATGACGGGTCGGTGTTCTTTTGGTCTGGTTTGGCGTAATCAAGGAATTGGGCGGGCTTATGGCGTTCAATGGATGGCTAGGGTTCTTGGTCGTCTTTCGGATACAATAATGACAACATATCACGATCTTATGCCTCTCACGATGGTTTGGAGTTGGTGAGTACTGAAGAAGTCATGGCTTTAGAGGATAGTCCTATCATCGTCTGTCAATAGTGTTGAGAGTATTATCTTACTATCACTCGATATTACATAGTTTATGTCATTGAGCTGCCTTTATCATACTACCTTCAATGCCTGAGCTGGTAGGTGTAGTAGCCGTTCTCCTGCTTCAGTTTTCACCTATGCGAAGACACGATGAACACTATCCCGTATCTTTGAGCGGAATATCGGAAGTTATCGCTGTCAAGTATGGAATAATCATGCAGTATGGGATACTTATTTTGAAGTATATGGTGTAGAGACCATATGATGTCTCCGTGAGCTGACTAATTACATAAAATCACAAAGCGACATATTGATACCTCCATATGGGGCGAGCTTAGGAGAGCATAGACGTGGGTAACGCGGCCCCATATGTGTCACTTCTTGCCTTCCTTGCACTATACTTGAGATAATGATGGGTACGCTCTACAAAAAGATTTCTTACAATTCAAACTATAGTTTTCTGTACGAAGCAATACTTTGCCCATGGGGGCTTTCAGATCTGGCACATTATCCGTGGATATACTAGTTGGCCCATTTGGGAGCTCAGGTCACTGGTTGTTTTATGACTTGTACCTCCAGACAATTCAGAGACGTTTCTAACCATACTTACGACATATTGAGCCACTTTCATGTTGTCTTGTCAATTCATGTCTCAGCTGTCCTAGTTAAGTATGGCTAGTCAGATATTTCACTGAACGCCTTGATAGCTACCACAAAGTACAGTAATATACCTACTAATAGAACAAAACTTGACGGGAAAGAAGAAGGGGTGGGGATCTCGAAACAAAAACAAATGCACCTCAGAATATCACTTGGAGACATTAAGTGACATACAGGGAATTATGGTCATAAATCGTCCTTACGGAGTATGAGCGGAAGCTGGGAAAGGGAAGATTGGAGAATCGAAACGGTGACGGACTCAAATGATGATAGACTGGGAAGATTTACTCCGTCTAAGAATGTACTTAAATATGCTAGATTCATGTTTCACAGTGACTTGGGCTGTCACCATCACTATCCCTTGAATACATACGTTGCGTATTCATTCACTCATGCAGTATGGTGGGTGAGGAGGGATAATTGATAAGGGATAGAATGAGAAGAGAGGTGACGTCAAGGCGTAAGGAAGTTACTAGTTGACTGCGCAATATACTAGACCTATCGCAGTGGTCGTCTCCTAGTATTCCTACCTTAGCCCTAACATGAGAAGTCGCGGCACAAGGACGAAAAAAAGTTCTTTCTTATGTGCCGTTTACCAATGGTGTGGGGCGTCTGCCCCGTGCACAAACAAGCAATGTCACCGAATGACTTTGACAGGAAATCAGATGCTCCGATCCATAGTGCCTTACTGCTGAACATGCCAGGGGCTTCTTTGAATGCGATGCCTGATACATATTTCCCCTACCACAGTACGTACCCACTTATTTATTCCGCGGGGCATTTCCATAGGACCTGATAGGCCGACAAGCAACATCATCCACAAAGTAAATCCGGGCCGATGATCCTCTCCCAACCGAAAAGCTTCATTCATCTATCCAGGAATCGAATTTCCACCGCTTCTTTTTCCCCTCTTCCGTCACCGCAGCGATGGACATCCTATAGCACGAACCTTCCCGAAAAATACCAGATAATAGGAAAAGATATACACGGGAATAAAACAAAGAGAAAAGCCAATGGACATCTCCAAACTCTCCACCCAGCTCACCGAAGCACCAACCCCCTTCCCAAATTGTTGTCTATCTATCTCCAGCACCCTGGTAGCCCACTTAGCATGGCTCCTTCCTAAAAGGCCCGCGTTCACCCTATCAATAGGCTGTGGATCCGGTCTCCTGGAAGCACTGATACTACATAACCATCCCAACGTCCAAATCACCGGAATAGAAGTCTCCACGTCAGTCAACCGCTACCTTGCAGAAGAGGACTTCGACGTGGTCAGCGGAACTTGGGATCTGTATGCGCGTGCGCCGCAGGCGGCAGCATGGATGTTTGTTTACCCGCGCGAACCGAAGCTGGTTAGCAAGTATATTGAGATGTATGGCGATGGACCTGAGTCGTCAGTGCAGATGATACTGTGGTTGGGACCCCGTGCGGATTGGGCCGATTATGAGCCGTGCTTTCGCAATTCGTCGTTCTCAGACGTGTGTATCCCTGAAGATGTGGGAATCATGGAATTTGAGATGTTGGCAATCATGCGGAGGAGGTAGCGGTGTGTTTGATGTTCGACGCTGAATTATTATCTATCACCAGTGTATACATCTGTTCGGGTCATCGGACAGAGCCCGCGAGATAGTTGATTTCCTGGCTGGTAGCAGACGGGTTAGGGGAACAGGATTTACGGAAGATGCAAGAGGGTTCGCTGATCACCACTCCTCCTCCTGCTGCTGCTGCTACCATCTGATGTCCGGTCGGTCATCCAAGGAATCCTAGCGACGTCATCATATTTCCAAGCCTTGATTTGCTATATGTCACCATCATATCCAGGACACGAAAGACTTCAATCCCATGACAATAAAAGACTACAGCAAGGCGATTCCAATTAGTTTAGACTTTTTTCCCCAAGTCTTTCAGCATGTCATAAAAGGCTAGTAACTATAAATCCCATTCTATGTGGCTTCCTGTTAGTAAAAGCTCCGATTCCGCCATTATCTAAGGTTCATATATAGATTTTTCTTACACTTTCCTTCTCCCTATCCCTATCATGCATCATGCGGCATGTCCACGTCACTCGGCACACAATTTTAGAAAGACAGGCGGTGGCTTGCGTGAACCTTGCACGAGGTGTATCGATCATGCTAGAGCTGAATCGTGGTAGGGGATGAAAAACAAGGACTATACGTACGATTATAAAGCGAAATAGAAGTAGATCTACCCCTTGAAGGCTCATCCTCAAGTCCGCAACCATATTCCATGGATCAAGGGAGGTCTTCAGACGTCCTGTGTAGTGGTCTTAGCGTCGAAAATTGATAGTAGTCCCAATCGTTTGGCATCACGTCATTTATAGTCTTGGAATGCTTGCGTAACTTCACTTCCTGCTTGTACTGTAAATGGGCAACAATCAGTTCAACTTTTCCCCGATTATAATCCTAAATTGCTAACTATAGTCAATGCATGAGATAGGCATCCTACCTTGATGCAACCCATCAGTACGGTATCAATTTTTTGCAGATAGAACCAGATACCATCTCGTCAGTTAATGACCTAAGCTAAGGAGATAGTTGATGTCTGTCACACTACATGGCGGTCAATTCCAGCCTTGCGTAGGATAGCGAAGATCTGCAATCTACATAATATCTCAGGACTGCAGATTACATACTACTATTTTAGACGGCCAGGGGACATAAAAGGGCCGATAGCTCCCGTGGAAAGAAAGCATTCACTCGAGCTATCTCATCGTCTAATCTATCGCCTGTTACCATACTACCTCACTCCAGCCCTTCTCCGTCAGCCTCCTTCGTCCACCAATTACAATCCACCCAACATGAAGGTTTCCATTGCCCTTGTGCCCCTCCTTGCTGGGCTCGGAATGGCTGGCCCCATGCGGAAGAGAGAAGAGCATGTTGCCGGAGTTGCAGGCGTCGCGGACGTTGCGAACAGCATCAACGGTGTTAAGGTTGCCAACGTTGCTGATGTCGCTGGTGTTGTGGATGTTGCCAACAGCATCAACCGTGCTCGCAGTATCAACGTTGCCGATGTCGCTGATGTCTCTGATGTCGCTGATGTCGCTGATGTCGCTGATGTCGCCGATGTCGCCGATGTTGCTGGTGTTGCTGACGTTGCTGACGTCGCCGACGTTGCCAACTAAAAGGATGAATGATGCAAGATCCTTGGTTCAATTGGTGGCGAGTCAATCTTGTTCATTTGGTCAGTTCCTGCACACAATTGAATAAATCCTCCAAGCTCGAGACAGCAGTGTACTAATAAATCATTCAGTAGCAAAGATAGCTGTACGGTTACAACCGATTCGAATTCAACGAGAGCGCCAAGATATGGACGGGATAATTCAGCATAGACGGTTTTGGTCGTTACTGACCGTACGCTCGACTGGTCAAAATTGTTTCCTCTCGTTATGATGAAATGATTATTTCCTTTGGGATACAACTAGCCATCTACCAGATCGAATATGTAGTGGCTAATAAAGATAAGCCATTTCCATTGTTATATCCAGGGGCTATAGTTTTCCTGTTTAAGTAGACGAAGAAATCATCAACAGAGCGCTTCATATAGGATATCAATTATCACAACTTGGCCGATCCTACTATCAAGCTGTATCCTAGTATAGAGAAGCTCCAACGCCGATTAAATATCTTATTGATTAAACGGTTCAGTTGTTCCATGCGTCTGCAATCTAGTGCATGCCATCTATAAGGTCAATCAGGGGTGTCAGCCCTGACCGATCATACGGGATACCTGTGTATCCAAGACCGGCTCTTTGGAGTTGCAGATGAATAGGTCATTCCAATCCCCTGTATGCCTATCATATGAGTACTTGGTGTGTCGGAAAGAAACGATATTGTGCTGACAGGTATTAGTTAATCGGCTGTGATCAGGCCAGCACATTCTCAGAAATTTCATTCACTGGCTTACTGTAGTACCTAGTCTAACAGTTAATCGGACTAGCCAATTAGCTAGCCTGCTATTTCCACACTAAGATACGAACAACCCACGCCACTTTGAGCGTGAGCCCTATCTACTGGTTAGTTCTGGCTAGTTGTGCGGCTTGGAATAAGCACTATACAGTAAGCTACAATGAGTTGGCCAGCCTCGAAACGTTGCTTACACTATTAAAATCCCACTCCCCACTCATTTTCTATTGCATTCGAAGAAACTATTCTTCGTTTGATTCCATACGTGAAGACTAAGTTGCAACCATGAGCTCATCTCACTTTCGAGTTATCGAGCACGCCATTCAATGTCCCTCTCTCCGGGAATATCACCATGGAGTCAAAAGTGGTCAAAATCTACAATTAGCAATCAAACAATATGTTCCTCTCAATAATCCCCATCCTACACCGGATGATATTACAATTATCGCGGGACATGCAAATGGGATTCCCAAGGTCAGGAGGCGTGCTATCAGAATGCTACACCGAAATCTACATGCTGGACAAAGCATACTAATACTCCTACAGGAGTGCTACGAGCCTCTATGGGACGACCTTCTTGCAACGAGCAAGGTGAGGATCAAGGCCATTTGGTTCGCAGACTGCGCAAATCAAGGCGCCAGTGGAGTCTTAAATGAAGATAAACTGGGTGATGACCGTGAGTTACCGGCACTGTTCTCGAATTTTTAACCAGTCTGATGATTCTCTCCTAGCAAATTGGTTCGACCATTCCCGAGACCTCCTCTCAATGATCACTCATTATCAAGACCAAATCCAACCTCCAATTGTAGGAGTAGCACACAGTTTCAGCTGCTCGTCATTGTACGCATCCCACCCACTACCTTAAGCACCTTTCCTTTTACTTCCCTACTACCAAAGAATGACCGTCTGACCAACAATCCAGCGTCCACTTATCCCTCATTCACCCCCGTCTCTTCCACACCCTCATCTTCCTCGACCCCATGATCCAAATCGAAAGCCCAAGCAAGCCAGGTGGCCGCAGCCCTGCCCTCTGGGCCAGCACCCGCCCCGACCTCTGGCCGTCCCAGTCCGAAGCTGAAAAGCACATCCGGAGTAGCCCTTTCTGGCGCAGATGGGATTCTCGTGCGGTCGCAAAATACATTGAACATGGTCTCCGGCCTGTCCCGACGGCTTTGTACCCGCTTGATCCCCCGTCCTCTAACGGAGAGATGTCAAGCGCAAAGGTGACACCAAACTCAGTGACATTGACAACAACCAAAGCTCAAGAAGCATGGACATATCTGCGCTTTAACATCACGCCATATGAAGGTACTACTAAAAAGGATATGAGTAGTGATAGTGCTGAGCGCTTCCTCAGCCCAGACCTAGCTACATCAGCCAAAGAAGGCACCAACAACCATCTCAGCTACGTAACGACCTGTCCTTGGACAAGTCTCGCTTTCGAGTTCTTGCCTTATATTCGGCCATCAGTTCTATTTGTTTGGGGAGAGAAAAGTCATATCAATACCCCCGGTGCGCGCAGAGATGATAAACTGTTACGTGTTGGCACCGGGCTTGGAGGTAGTGGGGGTGTTCGGGCAGGGATGGTTCGGGATGAGGTTGTGAAAGGGGCATCGCATACGGTTTCCCTTGAAGAGGTGGGTGAGACGGCAAGAGTGGTTTCAGACTGGTTGGTAGAGCAGGGGAAGAGGTATATGGAGGAGAAGAATTTTTGGGAGGAGTATGATAGTCAGAAGTCGGGAAGGGGTGGGTTGGCGTTGTCGGAGAAATGGATGGAGTATATCAAGTTGCCGGTTGATACGAAGCGAGAGAGGAAGGGGAGTCGACTGTAGATACTTAGTGGTACTACTGTTAGGTGTATGCCATGTCGAAGATATATGTTGTTCCATCATACTGTTCGGAGCGAAGCGACTTCGAAGTATCTCCGTAGGAGTGATATGCTAGTCAAGGACATATTTATTGATATGCACTTGTATTGGGTCACAATAACACGGTTTCAAGAATAATACCAAAGACCCATTACCGCCATATTTACATTGGCCTTAGTAGCAGAAAGTCCAGCTTAACGCCATAGTAATATAGGCTGTGTGATGATAGCAGCATCCTACGGAGTACTCCGAGAACACTCCGATATAGTGTGATACGGAAAGACAAACCCTCCACTTGCGCATATGTGGTCGGTGCGCATCACGTGCATCCCCGCGGATGGGGCTAGACTAGCGGGAATCCTCCGATCACGGCGTCCGTTAAGCGGATGTTTTTCTCCAGCCAGCAGGAACTCTCTTTCTTACACCCCCTTTTGCAAGGTATTCACAATGGCTGCTGCTGCTAGGACGCTTCGCATAGGTCAATTGCTCCTCTATATCTCTTAATATCTCTCTGCGCCCGTCTAGTTGCTGACATCTTATCTCATGCAGGACTCATCCCCGGTGACGGCATCGGCCGAGAGGTCATTCCGGTGAGTCACCCCAGCGAATAGCTCACTTTAGAAACACCAATTCTAATGAAACTTTCTTCATCAGGCCGGCCAGAAGGTTCTGGAGTCTCTCCCCTCCTCCCTGAACCTCAAGTTCAGCTTCGTCGACCTCGATGCGGGTTTCGACACCTTCAAGCGCACCGGTAGCGCTCTCCCCGATAAGACTGTCGAAATCCTCAAGAAGGAGTGTGATGGTGCCCTGTTCGGAGCCGTCAGGTGGGTGCTACACTGATGTCCTCGTCCTCCCCTACCCCTCAATTACTTTCTAACCAATTCTTTCACAGCTCCCCCAGCACCAAGGTCGCCGGCTACTCCTCCCCCATCGTCGCCCTCCGCAAGAAGCTCGACCTGTACGCCAACGTCCGCCCCGTCAAGACCACCGCCGGCAGCACCGACGGCAAGCCCATTGACCTGGTGATCGTGCGTGAGAACACCGAGGATCTCTACGTCAAGGAGGAGCAGACCAAGGAGACCCCCAATGGCAAGGTTGCCGAGGCTATCAAGCGTATCTCCGAGAACGCTTCTTCCCGCATCTCCACCATTGCCGGTGAAATCGCCCTCCGTCGCCAGAAGATCCGCAGTGTTGCTGGTATCGCTGGTCTCCGCACCGAGCCCATGGTGACCATCACCCACAAGTCCAACGTTCTCTCCCAGACCGACGGTCTCTTCCGTGAGACCGCCCGCAAGGCCCTCTCCGCCGACCGCTTCTCCTCCGTCCAGGTTGAGGAGCAGATTGTCGACTCCATGGTTTACAAGCTCTTCCGTCAGCCCGAGTACTACGATGTCATTGTCGCCCCCAACTTGTACGGTGACATTCTGTCGGATGGTGCCGCTGCCCTGGTTGGCAGTCTGGGACTGGTTCCTAGCGCTAACGTTGGTGATGGCTTCGCTATCGGTGAGCCCTGCCACGGCAGTGCCCCCGACATTGAGGGCAAGGGTATTGCCAACCCCATTGCCACTCTGCGCAGTGTTGCCCTGATGCTGGAGTTCTTGGGCGAGGAGACCGCCGCTGCCAAGATCTACACTGCTGTTGATGCCAACCTCGATGAGGCCAAGTTCCTTTCTCCTGACATGGGTGGTAAGGCTACTACCCAGGAGGTTTTGGATGATGTCCTGAAGAGGCTGTAAAGGGTTGTTGGAAATGACTCTTGATGTATAAATAGCGAGATAAAAGAATAAGCTTTCTAGAGCGAATATGATGTCAACTTCTTTATGAAAATGGAGGGGTGTGCGATAGTAGATTACTATGATGCGTATCTCACTAAACTACGGGAGGCTTAAGACGGTACGGCGGGCTATGCCATTGTCTAACATCTCTGATCCCGTGAGCAGGTAATCGACAAGAGGCAGTCTAGAATGATCATGGAACGTGCCGATTCCATCTAGGGATTCCCAACACAAGAAACACAGCAAATTGAACAAAGGTGGACAAATACCAAAGCGACACATATTTGACTGGCTGATCGCAGATGCAGTGACACGTATTGAGCCATTTGTCTGAAGGAATCTGACAGATCGTTAATTGTCATCACAGCCGATGGAGTACTCCAAAGGTGGTTTGTTACATACGATGTACTACTAAAGGCTTCGGGGAATTCTTTACCTACTAACAAATTACTCTGTCCTCTTACAAAAATACACTCAGCTTCAGCCACCGCGACCGAATATCTCAAGTTCCCAATCGGGTATCGGGCGCGGCTCGTCAGCTGAACTCCTTGACAAACGGTCCTTTGCTTTTTAGTCTACCCTCCTGGTTCGTTTCGCCCGGCTCATCCTCGTGTCTCGTGCTGAACTCTCCCCAGCCTCACGCTTGTGGATGTGGGTCAGCGGAGATCGAACATCAAGTCCGTTGTTCCTGGCATCGTCTTCCCACCAGACCTACCTGCTAAGACCGATCTAAAGTAACTACTAAGTTTATCAGTCAGTTGGTTCCTATCATGCGGCCATTTGCCGCCAGAGCCCCATGATCATATATACCCACCAAGAATCCGATCCAGACATCATAAGCTAGGGTGATACCGACTCTGAGACAGAGAAATTTCACCGCACACAAAGCAGTTACTCACCGAGGAGTAGATACGAACTGCACGGCATCTTCCAAGACATAAACAAGTGTTCCAGTCAAGGAGGAACTCTCCTAGCGTGTGAGGCGGTGCATCCGGGCGGGAACCGTATAAGAGTGGAGGACATTCCTGCTGCGAGGGACGGCAAGGCCTACTATTTAATTGGGGCGCGTTCCACTCCCATCCACAATGCCAACACCAACATCACCTCAGCAAACTGTGCAGCCTCCTCGCAATAATAGAAACTCCCAATTTTCATCGCCATTACCGTTTCTAGCGCGCCTCATCGTCAGGCTTCGCAATATCTGCAGCACAAACATGGCATCATATACGTCGTTGAAAGAAGTGATCGACAGGGGAAAGTTCGCATCACTCAGTGACGAACAACTTGTTGATTTCGTGTATCTTCAATTCAAGCCAGTAATCGACAGACTCAAGAATGTCGAACAAAATATTGAGGGAGATGATGCGCATCCCCAAGGATTACTAAACCGGGCAGGCGTTCAGGGAAAACGCGATGAAAATGATCATAATCTCACCCCCTCCCGGTATCTTTTCAATGGCGAAGATTACTCAGAGGTGAATCGAACCTTGACTAATGTTCTTGCGGTGCGATGGCTGCTCGTCGGGGATTACCACACCTTTACTTGCCATCAAAAGGGCCCAATAAAATTAAAGAACGAGACCTTCAAGGAATTCCGCAAATTCATCAACTGGTTCCAAGATGAGCCGGGTTGGCTGATGGCCTTGATTGTGGCTCTGGTCATAGGTGACGTGGGTAAAGACGATAAGCTAGCTAAAGAGGTGCGAGCCCAGCTCAAGACTCCATCAGACGAGGAAATGAATCACGATACGGTCCTCGAAAGGGCCCTTGAAATGAATATCGTCGAGTCTCCCTCTCCATTGGATTTACTGCCGCCTCCTCAACGAGATGATGTAATTCGAGGAGTGAGACTTGGAGCCAAGCTCAATATTCCACAGCTAGCTCAAGGTGAGAATGTTCCAGGGAGCCTGCAGTGTCTCCAAGATCTTCGAGGCCAGGAAAGCGCCTTTGATTTGAAATATCTTGAGATCATGTTCGATGTGGCTGGCGCAGGGGCGCATGTTGATGCTTGTGGTTCAGTCCGGATGATTGAACCGGTCTGCCAATCATTCCTACTTACTTATAAGATCCTGAAGCGCGTCATATCCAAAAAGATCACTATTCAGGAAGCCTACAATGAAGTCTTGCAAAATAGAGGCCGTATCTTATCCGAGAAGGGTTATCCAGAGTTATCAACAGATGACAAGCAAGACCGGGCCCTCTTGCGCCTGTATGCAATGGGCAGGGTAGCCGATATCGACTTGGCAGAACGCTTCCGCAAGGCTCTTCTCGGCCTCCCAGATGATCATAGAGCTGAACTTATCCAAGAGCTTAATCAGAGTGGTCTGGAAGGTGAACAAGCTGTAATTCTCTATTACATGCCCGCACTGTTTGCAGAATTACTCCGGCACACCCAGCAGGCTTCCGAGGAAACGCAAATAAAGGCGCTCACATCGTTGATGGGCTTTATGAGACGCACATATATCGGGGCAAAGAATGTACCCGGTGAAACGAGTCTCATTATCGAGTGTGATGTATCTGGAGCAAAGAGCAAGATTCAGGCACCGGAATTCCCGGAAGACCTTACTGGGCTGAACGACTATAATCTCCCATCATTGGGCTCTAAGGATTCCCAATTCTGGTAGCCTAATTACCTCGCTCCTACCTCATGGAATATTGAGCGTTACCTTCGTTCTCAGCCGTTGTCGCGGCCAGACAATACTCGAACCTTCCTTCTGTCCACACCATCTCACAGCACGACACGACTTCCTCTATGTCTACTTTCTTCTTCGCTCCAATCTGCCTTTCCATAGAAAGCTGCCTTTTTACCTTTCTGGGTGGAAGGGCTGATACTCTTACGATTGCTACGACGCGCATGACACGACAAACGGCGAACTCTTTGCGTCCCAATATGAGGATCCTAGAAAAAACGAGAATTTCTGGGTAGTAGTATTATTTTACATGCTCTGAAACATACCACTAGAATGCATTGGCCATACACAGTGGGACAGTCTCGCGCTCAGCTAGCTCTTTGGCCGATAATCTACTTGCTTCTCTCCGATTTCGTAATTCGCCTCTACTAATAAAGGCATCACTGTCATCTCCAGCCCTGCTATCATTTACTACATAAACTCTCCAAATACAAACCCCAAACTAGCCAGTCAGCGCTCACCTGGCGTGCAAACCCTACGCTCTGACGAGGCCCTCAAACTAGGTGCCGATATTTAAGACACATGAAATACATTTGATAGTGCATTCTCAAATATCCTTCAATTAAATTAAATTCCTAGGTCAAACTCTTCACACACAGCCTCCGCAAACAACCTCACCCCCTCCTTCAGATCTCCCTCCTCTGCAGCGGCGAACGTCATCCGAAAATGCAGATGGTCCTTCCTCTCCTGATTCGAAGCGAACAGCGACCCCTTAGTCACAAGCACTCCCTTCTCCAAAGCCTTAGCAACAATTCTCTCCTCCAACCCAACTATCTGCGCCCCAACCTCCTCCAGCGACAACTCAGACAAGCCCTTAAGCCGAGGATGCCGTGTCCAGTCAACTTTAACCCACAAAAACATGCCGAACTCCGGTGTATTCCACTGCACAGCCTCCCTGGGCAAGTACTTGTTGCAAGCATCAAGAAGCACATCCCGCCGCCAGCGATACTCTCGCGAGAGGTGAACAAGCCACGCGGTGAACCCATCATGACCCCAGTTCTCATCAAGCAGATGCCACAGCATAAGCTGGGATGGGCCGCTAACAGCTAGAGTGCTTACTTCCTGGTATGCGGTGAACTTATCGATGATTTTCCTGGATGCAGTGACCCAGCCGGCACGTAACCCGGGGGCGAGGGTCTTGGATGCTGAATCGAGACGTACCACCCGCCCGGATGTGTCGAGGGTGAGGTAGGAGGGGATGGACTCGGAATGGTAGATCTGAGCGGCTTTGTCGTCTTCAGAGGCAGAGTCGTTGGTATCAGTACCATTCGTTCCATGAGTATCTCGGTAAGGACCCATCCTCAGGAAATAGTACGGATCATCCTCGATGATTATGAGATCATGTTTCTCTGCAATATCATAGATAGTTCTGCGCCTTTCCAGCGATTGGCTAACCCCTGTTGGATTTTGACCCGTCGGGATAGTATACAGCACGCGCGGCCTGGGAGACTGAGCATCATCCCAAGAGGAAAGTACCTCATCCAGTGCATCAGCCCGCAAGCCATCCGCATCCATCTCAATCCCCTGGACATTAACCCCATTCAACGCAGCACTTTCTAGTGTTCCGGGGTACGTATATTGCTCCGCGAGAATGGTGTCCCCGCGATTACAGAAGATTCTAAATGCCATCTCCGTCGCGGCAGTGGCTCCACAAGAGAGGAATGTTGCCCAGTCTGCATAAGGGGGATTGTGAACGAGCTCAACGTGCTCCGTGATGAATCGGAGTAAGTGTGCTGATCCGTTTGCGAGGCAGTAGTTCATTGCGATTGAAAGGTTGTATGTTAAACCGTGTTTGGATATGGTGTGCGCTGAGTGGCATTGTTCCTGTTCTTTGGGTAGTTGTAAAGTGGCTTTTTGTGTAGGCTCATTCAGGGTTATGGACTCCCAAGGATAATAGTCCGCTGTTGGTCGTCCCGTTCCTAAGGAGATGATCTTGCGCGGACCGCTTGGGCTGGACCCCTTTTTCAACGCTGAGCCGGTAAAGTTCTGGCTTTCGAGGCTGAAGTGGTGGCCGAGGTGCTTTGCTGGTGGTTTTGTACGGTTGTAGGGTGATTTGTACTCATCGGAGGAGACGGCTGGGGCAGGAATGAGAGGGAGAGGGGGCGCGGCGGCACGAAGGGCTTTGATTTCGGTGGATTGTAGGCGAGTCATTGTGGGAGATGGGATATTTGGCTTGGTTTACGAAGAATCGCAAGAGCCACTTCGTGATTATAGATCTTAGTCTTCTCTTATAGTTTTGGGCAGGATGGGCAGGACAAGGCATCACTTATCTTGATGCCGGAGAGATCGGAGTGATATACTCGAACACTCCGAGTACTCCGCTCCTCGATGTCTTTCGCTTATCGCGCATTTCTCTTTTCTCTCTAAACTATATGAATAATTCTGACCAGCCTCTATTTTGTTTGACTGACTACAGTACTAGATGTATGTGCTTCAGGAGCCTCACTGCACGTAAGTTAGTGTAAGTTCAATGAGGGCCACTCTATAGCTCATATAGTAATATATTCGCAGTGTCCGATCAAGCCTGCCAATGAATATTAGTAGTTACATTTGCAAATTTATAGAGCCTCACTTACGTAGTGATCAAATTATTAACTCAAGCAAGACCAGCTTGAGCCTTTTAATTGTCTCTTCTGTCGGGGAAGTAATATGTCTCGGCCTAACTCATTTACCCCGCTCCGAGACTCCGATAACGCTACCCACGTCTCTCCGTACTCGCCGGACCACCCTCGAGGGCGTCCACGCAGTGATTGCACCATATATCTGCGATCAACAATGGCAACTAGGTTAGCGGCATGTGAACCTTGCAGAAGGTCCAAGCTTGCGTGCGATCATCAACAGCCAGTCTGCAATCGGTGTAGGGATGGTAACCGACCAGGTCTTTGTATCTACAGGAGTGCGCCGTTCAAAAGACGAAAGACTAGCAATGCGGTGACGGAGCATAAACCTTCTCATCAGTATGGTGTTCCTAGTCCTTGGGACTTTTCGAGTATACATCGGCTAAGACCATGCCACTTTATTCGGTGTCACCACTTTTAGCTCTCCAGACCCATCACCCCCAGCATCATCTCCACCTCATGCAGGAGGAAATAGATATCCCAACCCAGGATATCTTGGATCGTCCAGCCATGTTGCCATATTCAAACACATAACTTCATCAGATAGTCAAAGTGCTACATCTCATCTGAGTCCTAGTACCGCTTCGTGGACAGCATCTCTTTTCCGACCTGACGATGATCTCGTCGTCCAGCGATGTGCAGATGCCCTCAAAATGCTCTTGACGAGGTTCTCTTTGCCTGCTATGAAAGATCTAATAAGGCTGTGGCGGGCAAGGGATACTAATCTTGCGATTATGGGGGCTATGGTTGATCAATGTGTTGATAACATTCCCCTACCACCCTCATCAACAAACGAAGATTGGCATCTGCTCTATGCGAAATCCCTTCTCACTAACTCTTCCCAGCCGCTCAGATACTCTCAGCACTCTACCTTTTCCGAGTTCTGCGCTCAGTTCATTAATCAGAATATGCGATGGGAAACACTCGCGATCTTCCTGTCAGCTGTGGTTCGCGCCACTATGGATATTCAATTCTTCCCATCGCTGTATACCACCGAGGAGAAGAAGTATAGCCTTAGAAAGCTATGCACGAGATTAGCGGACTATGCTCTAGAAATTACCATCTCTCTCGACTGTTTGAATGACCTTCAAGTCTGCTTACAGTATGAGAACTTCATCGTGCATTCTCATGTAGACGGGGACCATAGTACGCTTCCCATGTGGATGCTCCAAGTTCATAGATTGCTAACCACGTCCAGGCTACTATTCATGGCGGAAACTCGGAGACGTTATATCCTCAATATATGCTCTCGGGTACCATGAGAATCTCGATGAAAAGCCCGATACACCTCGCTTCTTGACCGAGCTACGCAAGGCTGTCTTTGCCCGCGTGTATTCGGCGGACAAAAATGTTGCCATCTTTGTCGGTCGGCCGCCTCGCATGAATAGACAGTTCTGTTATTTCCAGATTCCATCAAGTCCGCTTCCCGATGACGTCTGGTTTATCTCCTTTGACAATCCAGACGGGGTCGATGATCCTTTTAGCTGGGACCCGTCGACTAAAGCGAGCTATATGGCTGAGACTCGATGGACTGCATTGTGCGCTGGGGTTAAAGAGGACATACTCAACTTGCAGAGAAGCCGGCCAAGTGACATGGAACTTTTCTATCAACGGGTAGCGTAGGTTTACTTTACAGTAAAGCGAACTCGTGTGCATGCTGACCATACCAGCGCCATAAAAGCCCAGGCTGAAAAGAATTACTCTTCACTACCTCCACATTTTCAGTTCCGCAACAATCTCAGAGACAATACATTGAGCACCTTTGAACGCGACTTCATCGGCTCAGTGCAGCTGAATCACTTGCACGCGCTCTTTCTGCTGAATCTTCTCCTGCTAAGTACCCCTACTGAGCCAGATCCCACCCTCGTGGACATTGCCGAACAGATCCTCTCAGTCACAGTGGACATGGTTCTCCTGCGTGACCAACTTACAAACTCTGGAACCTGTCTCTTGTGGAAGGTATGTTTTTCAATTCTCTGCCCAGCTCGTACTGTATAGCCTTGAGGTAACTGTAATTTGAGCAGGTTGCCTATCACTGTCTCCCTGCTGCGGGAATCCTCCTCCTCGCCCTTCTCAATGAGCGGGCCACTCCCAGCATGCCCCGTATAACACGACCCCGAACACTCCAGCACCTGACAATCCTCGCTGCGGAGATTCAAGCCGGATCGATCATTCGGCCTCAAGAACCCAACTATGAGCTAATGTCCAAGGCCATGCAAACGATCCAGAGCTTCCTGGATTCAGTCACTTCTGAGCCCATGCACCCTGTGTCAGACATGACACCCCGCAGTCCGAACCTGATCGAATGGTCCAGCTTTCCTTACCAGGAATCCTTAGATTTTGAGATTGGGTTCTGGGAGAGTCTCGCTGACCATCCGCTGCTGAGCTTCCAGTCTGGGCTGATGGCGCCCGAGTAAATATTTCACCCAGGAAAGTCTCTGCATGCTAATACATATTGAATCCACAAGAGTGAACTGAAAATGGCCACTCCTTAAGAAACAATGTATATATACCCCATGATCACGTGCCCGTGGGGCGCCGGGGTCGGGAAAACTCTAATTTTACAACACATGACGGAGGCCCGTGGGTATCCATTTAGATATCAGTAGAAACACGATTAAAATATCGTCTGGATTGCAGTGGACACGCACTAGTGTTGCTTATATCCCTGCATCTTCTAGACCCCTGTATCTGCACGGAGTTGGCACCTTTCGCCTCCATCCCAGCGACAAGTGTCCCAACCCGGGTCCATTTCCCCCCGCTCAATCCAGTGTGATCCACGCTCAGCTGTCCACAATGGAGTCGGAACTCCAGGCACAGATCCCCGGTCTCGACCGCGTGGTATCAGAGTACTCCGTGGGGTACCTGACCCATGCCTCTAAGGCCTATGTGGAAGATGCCAACGCCCCGTCGCCACTGGCCGAAGCGGCCGATATGGTCACCGAGCTCCTCGTCTCCGCATCGGGCGACTTCACCTCCGAGAATGAACAGGCCATCCGCAACTTGGTCGAAAAGTTCATCTCCTCGTTGAGTGCCGCTGATGGAGTCGACGCCGAGCGTCGCCAGATGCCCTTTGCCGCCAAGAAGCTCGACCAGGCCATCAATGTCGGCTCCCAACGCAACATGTCTTCTACTCTGGGTCTTGCCGGAGGTAACGTCGATCTGGAGTCGGCTAATGCCAGAAAGGTCGAGTCTAAGGTCGACCGCAAGAAGCTCGAGAAGGCCGAACGCAAGATTCGTGCCAAGCAGGAGAAGAAGCAGATGAAGACGGTGCAATACGAATCATCCCGTCTCCTCAACCAGCCCGACAGTACCATGTCTTACGAAGAGTTCTTCATGGCTGTCAACCCTCTGCAGCTGGGCTCGGACTCCCAGTCCAAGAGCAAGGACATAAAGGTGGACAGCATCGACATCTCCGTCGGTGGTCACCGTATCTTGACAGACGCTTCCCTTACCCTGGCGTATGGTCGTCGCTACGGTCTTGTTGGTCAGAACGGTATCGGAAAGTCTACCCTGTTGCGTGCACTCAGTCGCAGAGAAGTCGCTATTCCCAGCCACATCTCCATTCTTCACGTCGAGCAGGAAATCACAGGAGACGACACACCAGCTCTCCAGGCCGTCCTTGACGCCGACGTATGGCGCAAGCGCCTCCTTGCCGACCTGGAGAAGATCACCAAGCAGCTGGCCGACATTGAAGCAGAGCGATCCTCCATGGCAGACACCTCCAAGGATGCCGCCCGTCTGGACCACGAGCGCGAGGGTCTCGACATCACACTGAACGACATCCACTCCAAACTCGCCGAGATGGAATCCGACAAGGCCGAGTCCCGCGCCGCCAGTATCCTTGCCGGTCTCGGTTTCTCGCCCGAGAGACAGCAATTCGCGACCAAGACCTTCTCCGGAGGTTGGCGTATGAGATTGGCTCTTGCCCGAGCCCTATTCTGCGAACCCGATCTCCTCCTGCTGGACGAACCGTCCAACATGTTGGACGTGCCATCCATTACCTTCCTTTCCAACTACCTCCAAACATACCCCAGTTCCATCCTGGTCGTTTCTCACGATCGAGCATTCCTCAACGAAGTCGCCACCGACATCATCCACCAGCACTCCGAGCGTCTCGACTACTACAAGGGCGCCAACTTCGACTCCTTCTACGCCACCAAGGAAGAGCGCAAGAAGAACGCCAAGCGTGAATACGAAAAACAGATGGCCGAGCGTGCCCATCTCCAAGCCTTCATCGACAAGTTCCGCTACAACGCCGCAAAGTCCTCCGAAGCCCAATCCCGTATCAAGAAGCTCGAGAGAATGCCCATCCTGGAAGCTCCCGAGAGCGACTACGTCGTGCACTTCAAGTTTCCCGAGGTCGAGAAACTCTCTCCCCCCATCGTCCAAATGTCCGACATCGCCTTCGGATACACCCCCGACCGCCCCCTCCTCCGCAACGTGGACCTCGACGTACAACTCGATTCGCGTATTGGTATCGTTGGTCCCAACGGTGCCGGTAAGACTACCGTGCTGAAGCTCCTCACCGGCCAACTCCAACCGACAAAGGGTCTCCTCTCGCAACACGCCCGCCTGCGCGTCGGTTTCTTCGCCCAACATCACGTCGATGCTTTGGACCTGACCACCAGCGCCGTCAGCTTCATGGCCAAGACCTACCCCGGAAAGACAGACGAAGAATACCGCAGACACCTCGGTGCCTTCGGTATCACAGGTATG